CTAGGGGGTTCTCATTGTACTCCTCTAGAGGCTATTGGTATTTGGTGGGGATAGGATGTTATTTTGGTTTTTCATGTTATTTTTTTGTCTGTGATTTTGACATGTGAATTTCTTTTGTAGTTTCTGATTCTTGTGTGAGACTCAAGCCTTCAAGTTTAGGTCTGCTTCTCTTCAGGTTCTCTTTAATTTGACATTGGAGTGGCCAAACTGCTTTCATCTTCAGGAGTTCCCACAGAGGTCCATATGAGGATCAGATGCTCTCAGGCTTTCTCCCAAGGTCTGGATCCCTCCAGGAAAGATTTTGGCCTTAGGAATTTGGGGGTTGGACTGGCCCAGGAAAGATGCTGGTCTAGGGCAGCTGGTGGCCATGCCACCCAGAGATACAAAAGAAGATGAGGGCGGGAAGTGGCCCCAAGGGCTCCTGGGGACTGCACTGAGGAGCTGGGTTGGTCTGGATGCAAAAGATCAGGAAGTGGAAAGGTCAGCCCGGCATCCAGGAAAGAGACTGGACCAGGGTGGTGCAGGTCCAGGGAAGTAGAGGGAGGTGAGGGTGGGGTCAGGCCCAGAAGCAGTGCTCCTTGGGATCAGAGAAGGAATTGAATTGCTCTGGGTGTAAAGGATCAGAAAGCAGTGGTGTTTCCCCAGGTGTCTGGGGCGCCAAGACAAGGAATGGGACAGGACCCAGGTTAGGAGGAGACCGGTGGGGGAGATGCGAGGGTGAATGAGGCTGAGGGAGTCAAGGCCCGGAGGGCGCGATCTACTTACCCCGGAGAGAGAGGCCTGCGGTACTTTTTTTCAGCAGAATGAAGTTAAAGCAAGGCTGAAAGCTCCAAGCTTCGACCTAGAGGCCAGGTCTGTCAACATACCCTTGGCAAGGCTGCACGGGGGAGCTGGCATTGAGTTTGCTCAGTTGCTTTAAAACACACACACACACACACACATACACACACACACACACACACAGCTTTCGGTGAGGAGTGTGGGCTGGCGGTGTGGGGAAGAACAACAAACACCTGAACCAGGAAAAGGACAGTGGTGGGGTGGCCACGAGGTCAACCCATCACCCTACGGAAGACACCTGGGCACCCAAGCGGCAGGGAGGGAGCCCAGATGAGGCAGAAGACCGTGCTCAGACCGCGATTCCCCGACGCTAAAGTGAGCTGTGCTCAAGTTTAGGAGGGCGCCCAGTGGCGGATCATCACAGGACTGCCCAGACCTGGACTGTGCGTGAACCTCTGGAGCAGACTCTCGGACCCATAGCGTGAGAGAGAGTCGGAGGGCCCGAACTCTGGTCCCCAGCCGGCCCTCCGCCCCTCCCACAGCTCCGAGCTCTGCATCCTTCTGGCTGTAGGCAGCACGATGGGACCCTGACACCTTAGTTGACTGAAGGACATGCTTTTACATGCACCACGGAGGTAACGGGAACCGTGGGGCAGAAGCAGCTAATGTGACATCAGGCTTTCAGGACCGGGATTGCGCTGCGGTGGCGGAGCCCGGTGTCCGCCCCGCTGCAGGAACGCTGGCAAGTTCTGCGACCGGTCAGGTGCGAAGCGCCATCGGACGCTGGCAGGGCTGCTTTAAAAGCAGGCTGCGTGCGGGAAGTGCTCTGCCCGTGTTCCCTGTCTCCGGCTGGGAGCTGCGGGCTTTGGGGAAGCCCCAGCCTTCTCTCTTCAGCTTCCTTTGTCCTTCGAGGTCCGGGGCCGGGAGTTCCGGCCTTAAAGAACTTAGGTTGCAAAGGCGGGTGGAAAACAGCCTCCACAAAAGCCTATGAACCGCCAGAATCCTGCCTTGGTAAGCATTAGAGGGAACACGATAGGAACTGTCGCCAGCGAGGCCTTCGATAGCTCAGTTGGTAGAGCGGAGGACTGTAGTGGATATGCGCCCTGTAATCCTTAGGTCGCTGGTTCGATTCCGGCTCGAAGGACTTCGTATACTGTTTTTACCTCCAACCTAGTTCAAATCACGCTTTCTTGTAGCTGAAACTTACCGGGAGTATTATGCCGTTTGTTTGCATATTAGGTGTAAAGACAGAGTGATCTGGACTCAAAAATTATTGCTTATGTGTAATCACTACATGGGTCACTGTCAGACTACTGCCAGTGGTTCCTCCATAGTTTTTAAAATAAAAGATTTTGAGCTATAAATCATCCATCAAGAGGACAGCCCAGAGAAATTTGTAAAGGTAATGGAAGCACATAGGTAACAACAATTGGGGGATTAGCTCAAATGGTAGAGCGCTCGCTTAGCATGCGAGAGGTAGCGGGATCGATGCCCGCATCCTCCACTTTACTTTTGTCCTTCAAGTGCTAGCTTTAAGCACTAAATACTAGCAGGGTCGTTACACAGTAGAGCGAGGGGTACGCCCAGCAAGGTTGGCGTCACAGGGATTTTTATTCGCAGGTGCGTCTTGTGTAGCTTTCCGCTCCACGCTGCGTCTTTCCCGCCTATGGGGATGGGTCACTGTCAGACTACTGCCAGTGGTTCCTCCATAGTTTTTAAAATAAAAGATTTTGAGCTATAAATCATCCATCAAGAGGACAGCCCAGAGAAATTTGTAAAGGTAATGGAAGCACCTAGGTAACAACAATTGGGGGATTAGCTCAAATGGTAGAGCGCTCGCTTAGCATGCGAGAGGTAGCGGGATCGATGCCCGCATCCTCCACTTTACTTTTGTCCTTCAAGTGCTAGCTTTAAGCACTAAATACTAGCAGGGTCGTTACACAGTAGAGCGAGGGGTACGCCCAGCAAGGTTGGCGTCACAGGGATTTTTATTCGCAGGTGCGTCTTGTGTAGCTTTCCGCTCCACGCTGCGTCTTTCCCGCCTATGGGAACGGGCCCTTAAACACCTACGGGAAGGAGGCCACAGGAGCGCCGCTCGCTAGTGCCACGGAAGCCGCCAAACGGCCTTCACAGGTTACCTGCTATTGTGCGGGAACCCTGCGCACCGACCAATGGCAGTGCGCTTTACTGGGCGGGTAGCCAGCTGTAGCTGCGGCCAATAGGCGAGAGACTTCTTGTTTCCTGGCAGAGCGGGGTCCTGGCACCGCGGCACTTCGGTTTTGTGTGGGTCCTGGGTGGAGGGCCGGGGTGCCGGGTGCCGGGGTGCCGCCTCGCTAGCGGGCGAGGGAGCGGGAGCAGCGGCCGGAGAGAGGTGAGGGGCTTTGTGTGGATTGCGGCCTCGCCGCCGACCCCGCCCCCTCCTCTCTGCCCTGTCGGCCCGAGCCCCTCTCGAATGCCACCCCGCCCCCCAGCCACATGCCGGCGCCCCCGCCCCTGGCTGAGCGTCCCAACTCGCGTATCCCCGCCTCTGACCCCTAGGACCAGCTTCCCACCCTCCAGTGTGTCTGTCTCGACCCCTCCCGTGCCTCCAAACCCCACCCTGCCCTGGACAGGCCAGCCAGTGTGAGGGTCTTCGAGAACCGAGGAGCCACCCCCTGCTTCCGAAAAGCGGGATCCTACCGGCCCAGCTTTTCTAGGGGTGCTTAGGACACCCGTTGTCCACACCTACCAGGGTAGCTTTTGCACCGGCTCGTGTCTGCAGGGCGGGAAGATGGAAACAGACCCATGTCGTAATTGGAACTGAGATTCAGGGCAGGTGAGCAAGTGGCTTTGGCCAAGCACAGGCCACACTCATAGTTTTCACATAGGTGTAGTAGAGAAGCCAAAAAAGGGGAAGTGGTGGCCAGCTTTTCCAAGGTCTCAAGAGAAGCAACGGTTATAATTCTGGTCAGTACTTGTGAAGACAGAGGGGTGAAACTACCATTTACACTTAGAAACCTGGCCCAGTCTGCTCTGGGCTGGAGAGTACAAAGCCACTCTAGGAAACAGATAAAACTGGCAGGCAGTTTGTGGGAGGCATCTGACCTCTGTGTAGTCTCTACTCTCTGGGTTGCTAAGAAGCTAAGAGTCTACTGTTTCTCAGTGCAGTTAAGCCACTGAGCATTTGATTTGGGATCAGCTACGTTGTAGTGAATGGGGTCTTTTAGGTCATCTTTAGGTGTTGAGGTACGGCTCTACTTCCTCTTGCTCTTGGTAGGAGGTGACCCCCATGTTTTCTAAGGAGAGGGTGTTTTATTTCATAGAGCAGTATCCAAGAACAGTTATCTATCCAGAGATACCCAAAAATATTGTTTCATTTTTCTCCCCCTTTCTCCCTACCCCATTTTTATTTTTCTCCAGCTCTCAGGGCCTGAGTAGGGCAAGAGGATGCTTTCCCAGCCCCACCATGGAGTTGCGCTGTGGGGGATTGCTGTTCAGTTCTCGCTTTGATTCAGGGAACCTAGCCCATGTGGAGAAGGTGGAAACTGTGCCTAGCGATGGGGAAGGAGTAGGAGGGGGTGCATCAGCCCCCACTGGTGGCATTGCTTCTTCCCCTGACTATGAGTTCAACGTGTGGACCCGGCCAGATTGTGCTGAAACAGAATTTGAGAATGGGAACAGGTATGAGAAACAAAACAGTAGGAGGCAATGTCCAGGTACCCAGATCCATGCTTCAGTTAGTCCTGACTTCCTTGTGCCAACACAGCACCCTTTTTTTTTCAATCCGCCCCGTCCTCCTACCTTTGCTCCTTGCTAAATAACCCTCTGCCAGTTTGACTTGCCCTAACTTTCCCACATAGCCTCTCTCCAACCCTCCCATATCTAATGACTGGTCTCTCTCTTCTGGCCCTCAGGTCATGGTTCTACTTTAGTGTCCGGGGAGGAACTCCAGGGAAACTCATCAAGATCAACATTATGAACATGAACAAGCAAAGCAAGCTGTATTCCCAGGGCATGGCCCCTTTTGTGCGTACATTGCCTTCCCGGCCACGCTGGGAACGCATTAGAGACCGACCCACCTTTGAGGTAAGTTTTCATGAGGAGGAAAGAAATGGTGCTAGAGTAGAGAAACAAATTCCTTTTTTTTTGGAGACAGGGTCTCACTATGTAGACCCAGCTGGCCTACAACAGGCTTTGTAGACCATCCCAGGCCAGCCTCTGCCTCCTGAGTGCTGGGATTACAGGCATGTGCCACCAGGACTAAGAAATAAAAACAACTTCTTGATACAGAGTAGTAGGCAAGTGGGAGCTGAGGTTTTAGTATTATCTCTCTTCTACCACAAGCTGGAGTCCAAGGTGAGCTGCTTCAGCAAGCCTGAAGGAGCTGCTTGTCATATGGAAAGCATCCAAAGGAGGGAAGTTGATAAAGGTGATAAGGGAGTGAGGTCAGATCCTGGTGGTTCCAACAGGAGCTCAGTTCTGACATGGATGGCATGTTGCCCCTCCTTCTTCCTCCTTTGCTCCTCAGATGACAGAGACGCAGTTTGTGTTATCCTTTGTTCACCGTTTCGTAGAGGGCCGGGCGGCCACCACCTTCTTTGCCTTCTGCTACCCCTTCTCCTACAGTGACTGCCAGAATTTGCTAAACCAGCTAGACCAGCGCTTTCCAGAGAATCACTCTACCCATAGCAGGTGCCAACCCCATTCTTACTCCTGCCACACCATTTTGGATCCCATAATACCTCTGCTATATCTGCGATTTGTCCTAAGAGCTTCAATCCCAGTTTTTCTTTCTTTTTCTTTCTTTCTTCTTCCTCTCTCTCTCTCTCTCTCTCTCTCTCTCTCTCTCTCTCTCTTTTTGAGACAGGGTCTCCCTGCAGCCCCAGCTGTCCTGGAACTCACTATGTAGACCAGGCTGGCCTTGAACTCACAGAGATCCACCTGCCTCTGCCTCCCAAGTGCTGGGATTAAAGGTGTGCGCCACCATGCCCAGCAACAATCCCAGTTTTCATCAGTTATCTAGAATTTAGCCAGCACTGTGGCTGCTCAGTACATCTGTCCACACAGAGAGCAACTCTGTATACACTAGTAATTTAGCCTGGGAAAACGAACAAAAAGTCCACCCTTAAATTAAAAGGGAGGCAGCAAGATGGCTTAGAGTAAGGGTGCTTGCTGCCAAGCCTGTCTGGAACTCACACAGTGGAAGGAGAGAACCAGTTCCCACAAGTTGGCCTCTGACCACACACATGCTGTGGCCTGTGTGTGCAGGCACACACATACATGATAAATAAGTAGACAAAATGTTCACTCTGTCCTGTAGGCCCACCCACTCATGTCCTTAGCCTCATTTAACAGTGAGAGGGATTGTGAGGCCCCAAAAGTTATGGAGAGGGACCAGATAATACAAATCCTGAACTGGTGATAGGGGCCACCTCTTATAGGATCTTGGGACTTCTGACTAATAATATTTACTCTGCAGTCCTCTGGATACCATTTATTACCACCGGGAGCTTCTCTGCTATTCTCTGGATGGACTTCGTGTAGATCTCCTAACAATCACTTCCTGCCATGGGCTTCGAGAAGATCGGGAGCCCCGTCTAGAGCAGCTATTTCCTGATGCTCACACCCCTCGACCATTCCGTTTCACAGGGAAAAGGGTGAGTGGAGAGCACATAAAGGCAGTATTCTTGGTGTGGAGAGATGACTTAGTGGTTAAGAGTGCTTACTGGTCTTGCAGAGGCCCCTTGTTCAGTTCTTAGCAGTCATTCAGATGGTTCACAACCACCTGTAACTCCAGCTCTAGGGAATCTGATGCCCTCTTCTCTGGCCTCAGCAGGCACCTATACACAGCAGGTACACATATACAAAGACATACACACATACAGAGACATACACAGGTACACATAAAAAAATAAAGCAGTATTCTAGCCTTATTCTAGCTCCAGCCACTGTGGATACCTTAAAGCTGTACCTCTACACATTCTGGACTCAGTGTGTAGCCCAAGGCAGAGGGCTATAGTTCATGTATGTCTTGCAAACCTAGCCAGCTAGAAGTCACATGGCTTTTCTGCTTCACTCATCCCTGCCCTCATCTGTCAGTGAGCGACAGTATCTTGTACTACAGATGGGACTACAGACCTCATGTTTGTTCTCTTTTCCACCTCAGATATTCTTCTTAAGCAGCAGGGTACACCCTGGGGAGACTCCATCTAGCTTTGTCTTCAATGGCTTTCTGGACTTCATCCTTCGACCTGATGACCCCCGAGCTCAGACCCTACGTCGCCTCTTTGTCTTTAAATTGATTCCCATGTTAAACCCTGATGGTGTGGTCCGGGGCCACTACCGGTAAGTAGCCTCTGCTGCTGCTACCTTTCTGGATTATCTCATCTTTCTTATGTGCTATTTCTCTGAAAGTCAGCCTTCTGGCTTCTCCTGTATTTCCAGTCCTCTTGTACTCTAACAAGGGCAAGCCCAACTGATCTTCCAGTGACCTGAGAGGGGATGTAATTGCATTTAAAGGCACTCCTAGGAAGGAGCAAAACCAAGATAGGTAGAGATTTATTTGGGTAGAGAGAGCTAGCCTTAGATTTCTGTGGTAGGGTGATAGTGGGTCAAAGAAGGGTCCTATCCTTTCTCAGCATAATTTCAGTCTTTCATTTATAACTCAGTCTTCCAGTCTCCTTGTTACTTACTCTAGCATCTCCTTTGCTGGCCCAGACATCTAGACCCTGTTCAGCTCTGTTTTCCTACAGCACAGACTCACGTGGAGTGAATCTGAACCGTCAGTACCTGAAGCCTGATGCCATCTTGCACCCAGCCATCTATGGGGCTAAAGCTGTGCTTCTCTATCATCACGTGCATTCTCGTCTGAACTCCAAGAATCCCTCTAACCACCAGCCCAGTCTTCATCCCTCTCCTGATGCTCCCCTTTCTGACTTTGAGAAAGTCAATAATCTCCACAATGAAGCTCACCTTGGGCAGTCACCTGATGGGGAAAACCCTGAGACCTGGACTGAGACAGAGCCAGCAGAAGAAAAGACTGACACTGTGTGGATTATGCCACAGCAGTCACCCAAGTTTGAGGAGCCAGCCCCTGATACCATCCTCCCAAAAGACAGTGGTGTTGCTTACTATGTAGACTTACATGGACATGCTTCCAAAAGGGGCTGCTTCATGTATGGAAACAGCTTTAGTGATGAGAGCACCCAGGTAGGAGTCCTGAGGATGCTGTGTGGGGGAAGTGCTGCAAGTTAGGAGATAAGGGTTAGGTCACAAACAGGGTTGGATAGTGGCCTTCTAGCAGGAAGACCTGTATACAGGTCTGTATACAGACTACCTCTTCACAAGTTTCAAAGATGGCATTGGGGCCCTGTAACTTATCCATTACATCATGACCTCTGAGTGAGGATCAAGCTACCAGCACCCCAGTGTTTTGCAGAATTTGGAGAACCAGGGCAGAAGGAACATTTATAGTATCCGAGGAGGAAATCTAAGAAAAGAAATAATGTCCCATAGTGAGAATTCAAGAATATTGATAACTGCTGACAGTTGTGATGGTATGGGCTGCATGACTATTTGCCATATTTTCCTTGCACGTTGTCCCTTCTCTGTCTCTCCTTCTGAGTTGCCTTTTCTTCCCAACAAACAGGTGGAAAACATGCTGTATCCAAAGCTCATCTCCTTGAATTCAGCCCATTTTGACTTCCAGGGCTGCAATTTCTCAGAAAAGAACATGTATGCCCGAGACCGTAGAGATGGCCAGTCCAAGGAGGGAAGTGGCCGCGTTGCAATCTACAAAGCCTCAGGGATAATACACAGGTTGGGAGGAAATTGGCATACAGTTAAGAAAAATAGCTTCTTTAAAGAGAACAATATTCACTTCAGGGTGTTTGAGGGGCTGTAACCACCCAAGTCTTCTCAAAAGAGACCCTCAAATTAGCAGGATTGTTTTTAATCTAGAAGTCTATTTTGGGGGGACTCCCTGGGTACGCGATATAATGCCAAAAATCAGTTGCTAGTTGGGGGTTATTAGCACTTTGTCTTCACTTGTTTCCAAGTGATTGCCTTCTTAGACCATCTAAGCTGTTCTGTCCTGACACCTGTTCAGGCAAGACACTAATAAAGATCTCTGTGTCTTAGCTATACACTTGAATGCAACTACAACACTGGACGCTCAGTAAACAGCATCCCTGCTGCCTGCCATGACAATGGGCGTGCCAGCCCCCCTCCCCCACCGGCTTTCCCTTCCAGATACACTGTGGAACTATTTGAGCAGGTATGAATCCATGGGATAAGTGGGAAAGGGGGAACCTGGGAAGGTCTTTACTCTGATGCCCAACTCTTAAAGGTCCTCTGTAGTGATGTGGTTATTTCTGTCAGTTAACAGGAATGTATGTGTCTCTGACTATCATGGTAAATAGGAAAGTTAGCAGGCATGACTTCCTGACCCCAACCACAGATTATTACCATGTCACATCTAAGTAAATCAACTGGTCTTGAGCTCATCTCCATCATGAGTCTACTTACTTCTGTGCTTAAAAGCACCCCTACTATTGTGGTCTTAATGTATCTTTTCCTAGACACATAAGAGTAGAAGGAACTGCAGGTTAGAGAAGATAAAAACTCCTACTGGGAGAATTCATTGATGGTATCAACCAAAGAACACACTTATTCCTGCTCATAATAGGCAAAGGTCCTCAAATGGGCAGTGGCTCAGGAAAAGCTAACTGTAAGTTTACCTGAGACAAAGAACTGGACACAAGTGTTATGGTACCCACCATTAGGTCTAGCCTCTTCTCTCCTACTGTGCAATGTACTACACCCCAACACAGCAACTAGGTTAGAGGACAAATAATGAATCAAACTGGACTCCCCACAGGTGGGAAGAGCTATGGCCATCGCAGCTCTGGATATGGCAGAATGTAATCCATGGCCCCGAATTGTGTTGTCAGAACACAGCAGCCTCAGTAACCTTCGGGCCTGGATGCTAAAACATGTACGCAACAGCCGAGGCTTGAGCAGTACTGTGAATGTGGGCATGAACAAGAAGAGAGGTTCTCGAACACCTCCCAAAAGTAACAAGTAAGACAAGCCACATGAAAAGGAGAGGGCAGGAATACTGGCAAGCTCTAGAGCTAGGGGTTCTGGGAGATAGGTATGCCTTCCTTCCCCTTAGAAGGGCCACATGGTGAAGATTTTCTAGGTAATGAAAATTAGTAAGATTACTTCATTTTTTGAGAATAGAATCCTTGCTGGGCATGGTGGTACATGCCTTTAATCCCAGCACTCGGGAGGCAGAGGCAGGCAGATCTCTGTGAGTTTGAGAACAACCTGGTCTACACAGAAAGTTCCAGGCCAGCTGGAGCTACAGGGAGACCCTGTCTCAAAAAGACAGACAGACAGAGAGAGAGAGAGAGAGAGAGAGAGAAAGAGAGAGAGAGAGAGAGAGAGAGAGAGAGAGAGAGAGAGAGAGAGAGAGAGATAGGCTCCTCTTCCCTCAAGCTACAAACTTCTAAGGGATCTGAAAATCAGGCCAAGGAACTCCTTGATCCAGAGCAGTACACAAAATCCATTACTTTGTGGTGAGAGTGTAGCAGGTCTCAGCTTCCAAAGGTTGTGAATGATTAATTGAAGAAGGTTCTAGAGCCAGTGCCAAAAACAAGGGAGAAATTCTTTGAGGAGTAAATCTACTCAGGATGGCCCTTCTGAGATTAGCCTGTATGCCCCAAGTTAGACTCCTTGTCCATGGACATGAATCTCTCCCTTCCTGGGAATGGGTTCTTGTGCCCCAGAGGTAGATTTTAACTGTCAGGGCTTGAGGAAAACCTTCAGATACTTCCTTTCAGGCACAGGGTTAACTGGCATCTGCTTCTTTGCAGTGGACTGCCCGTTTCCTGCTCTGAAAATGCTTTGAGCCGGGCCCGAAGTTTTAGCACTGGCACAAGTGCTGGTGGTAGCAGCAGCAGCCAACAAAATTCTCCACAGATGAAGAACTCCCCCAGCTTTCCTTTTCATGGCAGTCGGCCTGCAGGGCTGCCAGGCTTGGGCTCTAGCACCCAAAAGATCAGCCATCGGGTGCTGGGCCCTGTCAGAGGTAAGCCAGTCTGGGAGCCCCTGCAGCAGGTGTTTGGTTGTTTGGGGCACTGCTGGGGAAAAAGAACTTGAAGACATAAAACAAGGGGTAAATCAATAAAATTAGTCTGTGGCAGAAAAACCTGCAGCCTCTCCTGCGACCTTGTTGTTCCCTGCGGCATGACGTCAGAGCAGTATTATGTGGCCATAGGAAGAAGTCCTGAAGATCTAGCTTCAGCAGATATATGATTGGAGCCAGGAAATTTCCTAGAGTGAAACACGAGCTAAAGCAATACCAAATAGACATGGAGCCTCTACATCAAGGACAATGTCACAGTGCTTTCTTGTAAGCAGTACAAGGAAATGTCCTTAGACTCTAAACCATATAGCACTATAGAATAAGGACTCCTATCCCTGGTCTCTGTGGGCTGAAACTTCCTGGCTTCACAGCTTGTTTAGAAAGTAGTATCAGGATTCCAGTTCTTTCAAAGAAAAATGGAACAAGTGCAGCAGCTGCTATTCTAGGCTGATAAGCCAACAGTCTATCCCCCTTCTAGCAGTAGGCACAAAAGTTGCTCAACTATGCATCAGTACCCCTAGGTATCACCTGATAAAAGATACTGGTTAGAAGTTTATGCCCGAAACATGGGCCATTGTTGGGAGAGGGGAGTGAAAGTAACTGAAGTTCTTGGAACTAAGCTGGGTTGTGGGGAGGGAGAGAGCCTTTTAGTGTCACTTCTGAAAATACACTACACCACAAATCCGTACTGTTCATGTCTTCTGGACTATAGAAATCTTGCCAAAACATGGATGTGTATAAGCTGGAGCTAAGAGCTTTATTGACCTTCCAGCTGTACCCTGCTACTCAGCTTGCAATCTAGTTTTTGGAACAACCCTGACACACACAGGGTCAGTGACTATAAATCAGACTGCTAGTTAGAGAAGCCACAGAGGAAAGAATAATGATCCTTACCAGCTTTAACTAATTAAGTTGTTTCTATTTCTGATACCAATCTGATTCTGTTTATAATTCAGAACCCTTTCTTTGGGATTCTGTCTTCCTTGGGAACAAATATTTGTGTGCGCTGCTCTTGAAAGACAGTAATGCTTTATATTTAAAAATCATTTTACAATGAATAAGATAGTATCATAAATATAGTTTGATTTGAGCTGGGCATGGTGGTGCATGCCTTTAATCCCAAAACTTGGGAGGCAGATGCAGGCAGATCTCTGAGTTTGAGGCCAGCCTGGTCTACATAGCAAGTTCCAGACCAACTCTACAGGTCTCAAAAAGACATATATATATATATATATTAGGACAGATGATGCTTCCATTTTTCTGATATGAAAACAGGTTATTTTTTAGGAGTGGCTCATCCAACTGGGCATGGTGGCATACACCTACAATCCCAGCACTTGGTAGGCTGAGGCAGGAAGCTCACAAGTTGAAGGCCAGCCTGGGCTACCTAGTGAAACTGTCTCAAAAGGGTGGGTATAGAAGGCTGATAGAGTGGTTTGCTCATTAAATGGCAGTTATTCCAACTTTGCTTTCATGCTCCAGTATACCTAGTTTTCCATGTTAAGTTAAATCTAAATCAAGTTTTTCTATTTTCTTTCTTTCTTGTTGGTTGGTCTTTCCTAGATAGTAGCTCATAATTTCATCAGCACCATAAATTCTCCTTTCCGAATGATAAAGTACCTTTTCTAGGTCATCACTGGAGGATTCAAGGCAGTTTTTTTTTTTTTTTTTTTTTTTTTATCAGCCTAGATTGGCTTTAAACACAGGATCCTCCTGCTTTTACCTCCCAAGTGCTGGGATTACAGGCACACTACCATATCCAGCTGTAGGCAGTTTTCAATCAGTATTTTTTTGACATCCTCTGGGTCCCTCCCCCTCCTGGTACAGAATTTTGCAGTGAACTCTTTGAGGTGAGGACCATGTAGTCTATTTCTCTGTTACTTCCCCAGATAACTAATGGAAAATAGGCAGCTTCAGTACTAAGTAATTCTTGGTTGACTGACTTAAAGCTTAGAGGATAGTAAACAAGATAGGAGGAAGCAGGATAGTAAATAGAACATAGACGTGTATGCACATTATAAACATCCAGTGCACTTGGGGAACTACTGTGGTAGATCAACATGAGAGTAGTTAGCCAAAGAATGTTCAGTTGAGGAACACTTCTAAAGAATGAATAGTATATGGTTTGACAAAAACATTCCAGAAATGAGAAATGACAGCCAGGATCACAAATAAAAACTCCTGCGTAGAAGACAAAAGCATGAAGACTTGTATACTTAGCTGGTATACAAAAAGTCATACCCTTCACCCATGAAGTTGGGTAAAGAAACACGGGAAATTGAAGTTTTTTAAAACAGGGATGCCATTACCTGAAACTTATTGTAACAACTAAATGCTAAGAAAAATGGGAACAAAAGGCAGAGACTACATCTGGACAGGAAAGGGGAGTTGGGAGGCTTGCAGTAGTTTACATACAAGGTAGCTATACATGTACCAGAGTCTGGAAAGTAGAAAGAGATCTAAGTATTAGAAACAAAAGCAGGAGGAATCAAAGATGATGCAAGATGGAAGAACTAAGATTGCTTCAAGGCCATGAGCTAGAGGCAAAAATGATGGTGACATTAAGGAAGAAAAAGTAAAAAGCTATTTCATTCATGCTTAGATCCCTTAGGCAATCTATATGGAGATGCCTTGTAGACAGAACTATAGAAAACATGAGTGGATGGGTTGAAGGTCTACTTCATCATGTAGAGGTGTCAGGCAAAGCCACGTGAGAAGGCATGGTTCTCAGGTGAATGAACTTAAGAGTTGGTTGGATAACAGACATCCTGAGAATTTTATAAATATTTGGGGTTTTTTGGTCTTTTTGAGACAGGGTCTCTGTAGCCCCCACTGGCCTTGAACTCATTATGTAGACCAGGCTGGCCTTGAACTGACAGATTGACCTGCTTCTGCCTCTTGAGTGCTGAGACTAACTAAAGGCATGTGCTACCATGCCTGATGAGAATTTCATAAATATTTGTAAGAAGTAGGAAACTGTCTCTAAAGTCAAAGGGTCAAGATGAGAGTTACTAATATGAAAAGATACTATAAAGAGGCCATGCACAGTGGCACACGACTTTGATCCCAGAGCTCAGGAGGCAGAGGCAGCGATCTCTGCGAGTTCGAGGTCAACCTGGTCTATATAGCGAGTTCCAGCCCAGACAGGGCTACATAGTGAGACTCTTGTCTTAACCAAACAAAAGACACGATTGAAAAGTGAGAGCCTAGGACTCTTAACAGTGTTTACCTGGGCATCTGCTGGCACCATTTTTTTTTCTGCCTCCTCTTTAAAGACACCAATGAGAAAGACTGGTCTCGGTTTTGGGTAGTGCCACAATGCAGACTAACATTTGGATTTAGCATCTTCAGCCAACCCTTGAGGAAACTTGTCCAGTGTGATCTGTTCTATCACATTACTTTGTATTTCTACACCTCTGGCTCTTTGGCCTCTACCACAGCAAGCTATATGGTTTATCTATTTACATTTATTCACTGTGTATGTAAGTGCTACAGCACCCATGTGGAGGTCAGAACTACTTGGAGAAGTCAGTTCTCACCTTCTACCGTGTGGGTCTGAGATTGGACTCACGTCATCAGGCATTGTGGCAAGTGTCTTTACCTGCTGAACCATGTGGACTACCTATTTGTTGTTTTTCAAGCTAGAAAAAAATATGACCCCCAGATCTCAAAGATCCTAACTGTATACTTTATAGCCCCCAAAATTGGGATTGTGATTTGATAGTTTTTTGTTTTTTTTTTTAACTTGTGAATTTGTAAGAAGTTTTCTAGGTCTGGTGTGGTGGTGGTACATAACTGGGAGGAAGACAAGGTCATCCTTTGGCTACGTAGTGAGTTTGAAGCCAGCTTGGGCTACATGAGATCTGTCCACACTCCCAAAAAGTAATGTTCAGTTACTGTATATATCATGTTTAACTGCACATTTTATTGGCTATCCTTTATTGGCAAAAACAAACATGAGATTTGGCTATCCAGGGAGTTTTCTCAGAAGATCTGGGCAGCCCAGCCAGAAGCTTAAGACAGAGAGGATTCTGACAGGTTCCATCTGAAATTGGACTGTGGCATTGTAGAAGGCCAATAAACAGCCAACTGCATACAAACAGGGATGCTTTGGGGACAGGTGGCTGAAAAGTTCTAAATAAACCTTGACTCCCAATAATCCCTGACCCAGTAATCTGACCTAGAGAAGCTAGAATCTTCTCTACCTAATTCCTTCCAGCTGCAAAAGTGCTCTGAGTACTACCTTCCCAGATCCCAAAGCACATTTCTAATCTCCTGTCTCCAATGCAGCAGTACTACTATAGGTGCTGTGGCTGTAGGCGAAGAAAAGGTTATTGGAGAATAATTTATGCAGTGGAGAAAAGTCAAAGACATGCAAGACACTGTAGAAGCAGATGCAAACAGAACTAAAGGGCTAGCCAGGATGACTGAGAAGGTAAAGCAGCTTCCCCTATGTTATGCCAAAGCAGGTGAAAGGCACCCAGGACACAGAATTCTGGGACCACACAATTGCCTCCTTCAGTTTTGCATCCTAGGTGCCTCACTTGCTTTATTCTAGTCCTGACCTTCTAGCCTACCCAGCCAAATACTGATGTGAAAGCCAAGGCACATAGCCTTTAACCCTACTACCACCTCTGTTCTCATCTGACTCCCAGCTTTGTCACTTAGAACCTGAGATTACTAGAACGCTTTCCTGGTCTTTACAATGCCTGGCTCAGCTGACAGGCAACTTTCGGCAGAATAGCTATTGTCCAGCAATAGGGGAAGCTCCTCTGGAGTGAGTCAGTGGGACTTAGTCCCTCTATCACCATTGCTACTTCTGCTTCCTCCTCTGCAAACCAATGTCAGGAAATGTCTCCCAACATTAGAACCTAGCACTGTGCCTGACACTTGAGTGTTTAGCAAATATCTGCATGAATATGTTAAAACTTTAGTTGGGAGCAAATTAATGTTTAATATCTACTTCTCAAAGGGCCTAAAAACCAGGTCTGTGATCGTTACAAGTATTCAGTAAGATCCAGGGCACTACATGGAGAAAGATCCCAAAGATATTTGGGGAGATGAAGTAGGGTCTAGCAGAAGAAATAAACTAGTGCCTCCCAACTATGATGCCTTAGAACAGACATCCTAACTCACACCACATGAGGGCAACCTGGCTCAACTTCTCAGAACATGGCTCCAGACCCACTCTGCCACTCCTAGCTGGTTACTATAAGATACCATCTTCCAACCTCTGAAAGCAGAGCTGATTACATCACCCCTTGTACTCAGCCTTAAGCTTCTGTCTCTAGCTCAAAACTAAAAAAATATAGAATCGGGGTCCCTTTTATTCTTTTTTCAACAGAATCAGAGACCTGGTTTATACCAGAGGCCAAAAGTCAAAACAGGAAAATGAACTGTGTATTTTCACTGACAATTACAGGCAGTCTTTCAGTGATAATGGACTGAAATGCTGTCTTTAGTATTGTACCGTCTCCAGACCAGGTGTCCTAAATCAGGCCTTGCCCTTTTTTCCTAAAACTTATTAGACAGGATTCCTGAGTTTTAGCTTTACCCGTTCAACCATGATCTCATCTCCATTTTTTCTTGCTTGTTCTTTTCTTTCTTAGTGAGGGTTCATCCTTTAACATAGTTTCAGCATGCCTGTGTATAGATATTTCTCAGATCATCTACCAATCCAGATTTACTACTTCTGCCTTCTGTGCACTGTGAGATACAATTTTAGGATTCACATTTTACTAAGAGAATCAGAAGGTTGTGCATTCGAATATCTTTCAGTCACTGGTGGTGGCTAATGTTTCAGGTCATTTGACTGTTGCCACAAGTCTCCCTGACTTCTGCTGTCATATCAGCATGTCTTCCAGATCTTACTAGCCCCCTTGCTTTGTACTCTTAGACTGTGCACCTCAGACTCTAATTGATACCTAGTACCTCAGTGCAGTTTCAAATAGCTAGAGGGGCTTCCATCCTAAGATCTTTATTTATATAGATAGCAACTTTAATTTGGAGTTTTCAGAAATAATCTGTGGTAGTGTTTTTTTTTTTTTTTTTTTTTTTTCTTTCAACAATCTCACAATGTAGCCCAGGGTAGCCTCAAGTTCAGAGAAATTCACCTGCCTCTGCCTCATGGGATTAAGGCATGTGCCACCATGCTAAGCATGTAGTACTAATTTTTTGGAGACAAGGTCTTATATAGCACAGGCTGGCCTAGAACTTGTGATGCCACAGCCTTCTGCATGCTGGGATTATAGGCATCTACATCTAGCTTTCAGAGCTATTCTTTATACTGCCTGCTACTACCCAGTGTAGACAAGATGAAGTTACTATCACTAACTTCCAAAGTTAGAGGCTTTTCATACCCAACACATGTTGCTTGTATTAGAAGACACCTGGAATACTGACCGCACCACTGAATTTGGTGTACCACAGTTCAAGAGCATTTAGTGCCTGCTCTCCCTGTGCCTAGGTGCTGCTGAACCATCCATTCACTGTCTGTCCCTCTGGGATCCCATACTTCAGAACTTGTAGTAGTGAGGCTTCAGCTAAAGGGAAATACCAGAAAGTACTGCCCCAAAGGGTGTAAGTAATGCCCTTTAAGCTATGAGATGATTAATCTATAAATACCTACTAACCATGTGAACAGAGGGCAATGTGAACTAATTCTGCCTATAAATGCCTCATGGAGTTGATATTTGAGATGGGACATGGAAGATGATCAAGGTTTTACTATAAAGAAACAAATTCCAAAGAAACCACACAACTAGCAGCAACAAGGACTGAGAGTAAGAGGAACTGAGTCAGAATCTTACTAAGGAAATGTGGCCTGGAACCATAGCAGACAGGGCTCTGAAATGCACCATGTTGAAAGTTGAAAGGGTTAGAAGAGACTTTATCCTTTAAAAGACCTTCAGAACTGTTACAAGTACTGGTGCATGCCTACAATCCCAGCACTTGGGAGTATGGCAAGAAGATCAAGCATTCAAGTCAAGCTCAGGCTATATAGTGAATTTCAGGGAAGTCTGGGCTATATAGTGAGGCTCTGTCTCTAAAGAAGTAGATGCTGTGTTTCTCCTTTACCTAAGCCACAGCGATTTTTGACAAGGTTCATATTTTAGAAGAGTAACTTGTGGCTCTATATAAAAGATGGATGATAAAAGAAAGTCAAGCTAGGAGAGAATAGTAGGAAATTTTTTTTCAAGGCTGCTTGAGTGTTAAAAGACCTGTATTTAGACACTGGCAACGGCATGAGAAGGGTTTCAGTGCAAGAACAGTGGGCAAGGAAAAGGAAAGGAATGGGGGGAGGACAGTGATCAGGGACTTCCAGGTAGAAATGCCCACTAGAGAAAAGAAATGGCTAGAGAAGGATTGGGAACTTAAAAGAACAAGAGAAGACCAAGGCCAGAATGGTGAGGAACACTGATCCTTAAATGGCTGGAAGAACAGTTGAGGAATTAGAGGTAAGAGAAAAACCTAGGAAAACTGTTTTAGAAGCTAAATTTAATATACTTTCTTACCAAAAGAATAAACTGGTAAGATGAGGGCTGGCTGAGATCTGGATAACTAAAATAAATATTAGGTCTTTCCACTTAGGCAGCTGGTTTCTTGACAGGCTTGAAAATAGGCATCGTCTGACCATGCCTGACCAAGGGGAGCCAGCAGGTCAGTAAAGGCTATCTTACAGTGCCTCACTTATTTAAACTTTTTACCTCCTTGTGTCTCTTCCACTCAGAGCCCCGATGCCAGGATAGGAGACGGCGGCAGCAGCCACTGACCCATCGCCCGACTACAAGCAGCCTGACCCCATCCCCAACTCTTGCTAGTTCTATCCCAGCTTCCTCACACAATCTGGGCTCCTGCCTACTGCCCAATTCACTCAGCTTATCAGGTCTGTACCCACTACCCTTGAAATCTGGGTTAGCCAACTTCTTCCCTTCCCTACCACCTAGGGCTTAGACCAGACTACCACCTAAGTTTGAAGAAATCCCTTCAACCACACTGCCACCTAACCTGAATTTTTTCTTGATCTGATCTAGATAGGCCACTCCAGATCAGGTGTAACAGTTATTCTCCTCGTATCCCAAATCCCTAATACATGTGCCTTTGTATAGGAGGCTGGAATTTGATGAAATCAATTGTAAATAAAGTAGCAGTTAACATTTATCGAGCATTTACTGTGCACCAGGCACTGCGTTTCACTATCTTAGTCCACAAAGTGCTACTTACCCAAGTTTCCTAATTGCAGGAGCTGGGCAAGAGGAGACAAAACTGAGCATGAGAAAAAGAATTAGGGGGCTGGAGAGATGGCTCAGTGGTTAAGAGCACTGTCTGCTCTTGCAGAGGCCTGGGTTTGATTCCCAGCACCCACATGGTGGCTAACAACCATTTATAACTCCAGTCCCAGGGGATCCACACTCTCTTCTGACCTCTGCGGGCATTGCACAACAGGGTGCACTTACATATATGTAGGCAATACACTCATACACATAAAATTTTTTTTGAAGTTTTTTTTTTTTTTTTTTTTTTTTTAAAGAAAAGCACTAGCTTTTCACCTGTCATTACTGCAAATGATAGCCTATAACCTACACTTCACTTTAGCTACCTAATCTTTTAAGTTAAGAGACCCAGGTATATAAGGGACTGAATGGGATCATTTTGTAAGACTACGGTCCGACATCTACTGCACCAAAACCATTACTCCCAACCTGTCAATTTTCAATCAAATTAGTCCTCAGTCCAGTTCTTGGTAGTGGATTTGATTCTAATCATATGCCTAAACGTATGATTGGGATAAGCTCCAAGGTCTAAAAATTTGCAGTTAAGCATGAGAAATTCTGATTTTAGCTAAAAGTTTCAGCTTCACTCTTTGGATTACATTAAGAGCTTCTTGGAGGCAATTTTTGCCACCCAAGGAACAACAGGTTTTAGTTGTTACAATGGAGAAGAACCCGGGGAGCAAACACCATGTAGTAGAGGATGAGGATGCTGCTAAACATCCTACCATACATAAGACCACTTCTACAATAAAGGATTGTACAGCCCCAAATTACTGTAGTACCAAGGTAAGGAGCTAGCAATGTAGCTCAGTGGTTGAGCACTGGCTTAGCATGAAATCCTGGGTTTACATCCCAGCTCAACAAAGAAAAAAATACCAAGAAACTGGTTTAAATGAAGTTACCTTCTCTTCTCCTACCTTGATGATTAGTTTCCTCTGTTCTCTAGGGAACAGCTGCTCACTCTCATCTTCAGGGGACAAGCCAGAGGCTGTGATGGTGATTGGGAAAGGTCTGCTAGGGACTGGTGCTCAGATCCCCTGCATTAGGACTCGTTTGCAGGTAACACTTTGGGGGTTCTTATCCTTGTCCTTAGAGGCCCAGCAAGGCACTGTTCTCCTGAGCACTAGGAGAGAAACTGCTTGGTCCTGCTTTACATACAGCCTTTATCTCCAGCCCTATTAGAGCTGCTCTGGTGCCTGAGTGTTTACCTGCCCAGGTCCCAGTCAGCCAGGTATCTTGCTTGTTTCAGACTCCTTTGTCCCTGCCAGATGCACCCTAACTGCAGCCTGCTGGCTTTGGCTTCCCCTACCCCTCCCCTTAGCTTCTCCTCTCTTTCTGACCAGACTTGCCCGAGGAGAGTTTCCGCCAGGAGGGGTCCCGGATTCCCCAGGTAACATATCTGGTTGCTGCTCCTAGTAACAGCCCCTGCCATCACCTATGATTCAGACTACCTCTCCTTGCTATTTAGCTCAAGTCGGGTAGAGGCGGAAGCCGACTGATGGGTGAAGCTTAAATTGCTCTGGCAGGGGTGGAGGTCCAAAAGGCTGAGGGAGGTCTACCAGTCTGCCACCATCTTTCTTAGGTGTTTCTCTACTCAGCCAGTTCTTAGCCATGGTATATCCATGAAGGCTAAATGCTGTGTCTTTTTGTCACCCTTAAACACAAGACCTGGAATGCATAGTCATAGATTGACCCTAGGAGTTCTATGGCTGCTATCCTGTCTCAAAGTCTCAGCTAGAACAGTGCCCAGGAATTCAAGGCCCTAGTACCTCTGTGAAAACTCTAGAAGCCAACCTAGAAGCAGAAAAGCTCATGGAAGAACCCAACCTCTTAGCCTACCCCTGTCCTACAGGCTAGGCCCAGGTTGGGCTGGAGCTCACCGTCGACTTGCAGAGGGATGAGAGGCTCTTCAAGCCCCACATCCCCTATCCCCCAGACCAGAGAGAGCAGTGAGCTGGAGTCGGGACCCCGCTCTGCTACACCAGGGTGAGCACCGGAGTCCAGTCCTTCATTCTACCCCTCCCTTCTATTCCTTTGCCCCCACTTCTACCATTCAGGATAATTTTCTCCCCTTCCTTGACCCCAAAGACTAAATGCACTTTCATTAGGAATCTAGTCCCTGATTTTTATTCTACCATAGCCTCAAGTCTTCACTTCAGAGAACAACTTCTAGTTAGGGTCTAGGAGGGCCTAGGTGCTAGCTAGCTGGTTCTAGTATCAGACTTCTGTGCAATAATCAATCTGCCTATCCCTACCCACCTTCATATTTCCCCTTTTACCTCCCAGCCCCTGACTAACAGACCAGAAAAGGGACAGAGTTTCCACAACCCTGATTCCTCTCTCCTCTCTGTTGCAGGCTGCTTCAGGCTGGCCCCCCACGGCCCCGCTCTGCCCCTACCTTTTCTCCTATTTCTCTATCTGACTCCCCATCCCGGATTTGCTACAACAGGGGGCCCTTGAACCAACCTGAGGTTTGTTTTGTCCCTAAATCTCCACCATTCACTATTTCTCCCAGGGTCTGATAATGCCTTTGCCTTCATGCCCAGGAAATAACCCTAAGGTAGGGGAACACAGTAAGATGATACGCTAGTCCCCTTTGACAACCAAAAGTCCTTGGGATGTCAACCATACTGTCCAAGGCTTTGCAGAACATCACCTTGAGACAGAACAATAGGGGGACCTTGCCACCCTTTCCCTCCCTCCACAGCACAAGATTTTGGGACCACAAAAAATATATATATTTTTGTATTGGGGTGGGGAGTAGAAAAGAAAGCAGCCCCTATAACTGGGCCCTATTCAGTGGCAGCTTCTTGTTCCATAGGGTTAAGGAAGACTTTGAGGAAATAAAAGTTGTTTGGAAAAATCCAGGTGTAGTTGCTTTGTATGCTGTGATGGGTAGGAGACATGAAGTGAAGTGTGAAGGCCCCTCACACCCTCCATCTTGCCTCAGACTATGTCCTCGAACCCTAGAAAAGAGGGGAAAGACCTGAGGTAAGGAAAAATGCTGCAGCTTTCCCGGGGGGGAGTCCTTCAGGAGTCAACACCCCCATCAAGACTGTTCACTCTTACCTTTTTAAAGCACATTTAAGGTTGGTTTCTAAGACCCTGCGTACCCCCGACCCCCTCTTTTCTCTCTGGCTTGAATCTGTAGTAGTTAACCCATAAAACAATGTTCCTGGCTTCAGAACATGCAAACATGTCTACATCTTTCACGACCTTGTCCCCTACCCTCCAAAACTCTGCCTAAATAAAGCTGCAGGCTCCAAGGGAAAGTGGAGCTATTAAGTGAAGAGCCCGACTCCCCATACTTGGGTGGCACCATCAATGACACTGTTCGTACTGCTGTAGGTGCCTCCTTGTGACTTGGGCTTCTATCTATTGGGGACCGGTGGGACTGAAGAGTTAGGAAACCCACTCTATCAGAAAGCAGTTTCGGGGAAGGAACAGGGTACTGCGAGGCACTCTATACTCCGTGCGAACAAAGGGGTCCAGTGGTGGACTTTCAGGCTTGGCCCGACACTTTCCCAGGTGAAGTTCGGAAGTCCGTAAGCCCTGGGGCGGCCTCGCCACTCCGCTCCCCGGGATCTGGGCGCTAAAGCCCCAGACCGTTACCTGGGGCGGAGAAGTTGCCACTTTCATTCCTGCTTCTTGGGATTGTTGACTGCCACGTAGTGATAGAGAACCACAAGCAAGAAAAGCGACACGCCCAGCATGTTGGCGAAGATGGCGAGCTGCACATCCGTGATCATCCTGCGGACAAGGGGAGGGACTGAGCCTGGGGCCCGCGCACTCCTCGCCCTCCCTTCGCCGGTCCTCTCCCCCATGGTCCCTCAAGCGCCGCTGGCCTGCCCGACGGCGCCTGCGTGCCTCTCACCTGAGCCACTCCACTCGGTTCCAACGCTACCGGCGCACAGGCTCAAGGTAGGAGACCTGGGCCGGAACTTCGTAGCGCCAGCCGAGGAGCAATGAGGCACTTCCGGTCTCTCTACCCCGCCGTCTCGCCTGCTCCCGAGACGCGCCCGCGCTGCACAGAGTGGGGACTTGGGCGGGGCCGCGGAGAGCTGTCCAGCTGCGGGGGGCGGGGACCTCGCAGCTGGCCGCAGCTGGCGCGGCGGGGGACGCGCTTGGGGAAGCTGTGGTGGCCGCCTCCCTGGACCCGAGGAGTGGGCTAGGGCGAGGATGCGGCGGGCGGGAGACTGGGCCTGACCTGTAAGCTCCGGCGCTCTTTCCTGCACTGCCCACCCTTCGCTTCCCGGCCCGACCCAGCCAGGTGCTTCCTTTGGATCCTGCCCTCACGGTCCTCTCCCTGCTCGCTGGCAGTGGGGATGGGGTGGGAGGTGGTGCAGAATGGGGACAAAGCCGAGTGTCCTCACTCGCGTTACCATTTCAGATCCACATCCTACTAAATAGTTCTATCCTGACGGAGATTTGACCGATGCCAGTCTCTGGTGGACTCCCTGCCTACTCCTAGAGGTGGGCGTCGGAAATAGGGTGGACCCTCCCGGAATCAAATCCGTAACATGGGACCTCAGCCAAGTGGGAAATCACCCCCCGGATGTGAAGGAGGGGGTGGGAGAGGAAGGGCTGGGATGAGCCAGAAGGGTCATGGGTTTAGGGTGAAGAGAAGTGGCTGCGTTAGACATCGGAGAATCGCTGGTGAGGGGAGCAGGACCCTGAATCTCTATAACCCTCTATCCAGCCAGAAACGTCCACCTCCGCTCCTCCAACTCCTTGCTTTCTCTCAGCTTCACCATAAAAGGGAACGACATGGAGCCAGACGAGGCTGGGGGCTGGGCAGTTAGTTGCTCCGGAGCTGTCAGGAGTAATGGAAGCCAGTTGCTTTGCGTTGGGGGCGGGGGGGGGGCAGGGCTCAGGGGAGGCCCCTGCTTCTCTGAGCCAAAGAAAACTACAGGAGCTGCTATAGGACTGGAATAGCTGGGACAGGGACCAGCTTGCCTCCTGAGCTGGAGTTGGACTATTTGTTCCAAAGTGGGTTTCCCTGGTCTCAGACTATCCGCAGTTTGTGTCCCACAGTGACTCCTGAACTCAACTCAAACTACTTGCCTTCAGTAGTTTGTAGTTCCCCAGGCCTCCCTTCACTTCTTCCAGCTCCCACCCACTGTTTCCCAGAAGGTTCATATTTAGAAATCCCAGGCCTATGTGCCCTCCACATAATGGGTGAAAACCCAGACATGGTTTCCCTGTGCATTCCTCAGTGAGTTGGTATGTCCTCTGCTCTGCCCTGGGAGAGTGAAAGTCTAGATTTTAGGATTACACATTATTATGCTTCATGTGTCGTGGAAAACTGGAGCAGGTCCAAGTCCAACCACTTAGGTATACTATTGAATCAGACCACATTTTTAAAAGAAGCTGTACCTCTAGACTTCAAATGACAAGAGAAAGCCTGGGAAAGTGCTTCAGTTTCCCAGGACTGCCTTCAGACCAACTGACAGGTGCATAGTATCCTAGACTATCACAACTGAAAGGTGTCTCCAGTCCAGGGTTTTTAAAATTATTTTTGTAAAGAAGGAAACAGGCCCAGAAAGTGTAGGGTCAAGGTCCTACAACTAGTTAAAGATATTGTCATCTATTATTACTACCTCTATTCTATATTCCATGTCAGACTGTAGATTCAGTAAGTCATCCAAGAGATCAGGGATAAGAGGGAGAAAAATTATTTTAGGACTACCCAGAAATGTCCTTCACCTCCCTTTACTTTCCTGTGCCTAGGTCAGCGGGTCTTTATCAGCCTTGAATGGGTCATTTGGCCTAGTGCCTAGAAGAACTGAAATAAATACTTGTCTCAAGATTGAACTAGACTCAACTAAGGAATGACAAAGCTTGACAAAACTGGCTGTAAAAGGATGTGGGAAGTGAGGCAGGCAAAGCCTCATCTGGCGGGTGTGTGTGTGAAGAGAATGGAAAGGCAACTATGGAGCTTAATTTTAATATGATGATTTTTGCTGTCATTTAGACAGGATCTCACTACATAGCTCAGGCTGGCCTCAAACTCATGTTCCTCCTGTCTTTGCCTCCTAAGTGGTGGGATTACTGACCTGAGCAATGACAGGATATGCGGCCAAGGTTTTAAGAGTAAGAAAGGAAGAAGACTTGGGGAAAAAAGAGACTGGGTCCTGAAGACAGTCTTATTCCTGGAAGGTAATCTTCAGGGAGAAAAAAAAAGTTTACATTTGGGCACCAGTGGACTTTGGTTCAAGACTCCTTAAAAGATTGAATTCCCACCTGTGTTAGCATGACATAAGGCCAAATTCACATGATTACCCTTCTTCCCTCCCAATATTTAGTCTTCTAACAGAGGGCTTAGACATAAAATGCTTCTTATTGCTGGAGTCCCCTACTATCCTGGCTCTGAGAACATGAGCTTATTGCTTAGTCTGTGATCGCTGAATGAATTAGTTGCCTAGTATGGCCAGAATCTCCCACTGGCATTAGATCATTGGAAATCCCCCACTTTGGACAAGTTATAAAATAGACCTTGTCTTACTACCTAGGGTCTTGGTGTTTTTGGTGTCAGTAATTCTTCCAAATGCTTTGGATATGTGTAATTGCCTGCCAGTACCACCATTACAACCACTACTGCATCCTATCCAGCATTGGTCTCCATTGCAGCCTGCTTGCTCACTGAGGCCAGTGGTGGGATCTATCTTCCTCACCAACCCCAGAGCCATTGGTGTACTAGAGATTTCACAAACATTCATGTCAGCTCCTAGGTCTTGTCTCCTAATTACCAGGCTAAGTGAAATGCAACCTACTACAATTTGTTTTTCAAAGCCAACATTTTTCACTTTAAACTATACAATAGAATTTTTAACTCTAGAGAGCAGGAGTGGGAGTATGTGGTTATCTTTTTAAGGTTGTCAGAGACCAAGGAAGAGGAGAAGAGAAAAAATAGAAAACTCCTAGTGGCAGCTGGGACAATCTGGAGGGGAAATGCGCTGGATTCCTGCCAGGTCCAGGCCAGGGCCTGCAATTGATGCAGAGACCAGGGATAAAGCTACCATTTTTATCCCCAAATCAGAATCTCCTGTGACCATTTCCTTCAAGTTTCCTTGTGTGCTGGTCCCCAGAACCCTATGGGCCAGACACAAATTGCTACTTCTGTTGTTTCCAAAGTTTATTTTCACCATATTGTCTTTGCATCAATATTTCTTCCAGCCATTAAGGTCACATTTTAGGTCCATGGTCCTCAGAAGCACCGACAGATCACCCAGAACCACATCGAAGAGTTGGTGACATTTATTCTCATGGCCTCCAGTTAGTGCTCTATAAGTGGTTCCCAGAATCCATGTCCACATTTTAACCACTTTCTGGACATTTATATCTACTAGAATGTGTCACTCTTATTTTAAACTCAGAATGTCTGGACTAAAATCACCTTTCTTCCCTCTAGACCTGCTCCTCTTTTCTAACTTCCTCGTCTAAGCTCAAACTCTGGAATATTCTGTGGCAGCATCTTTCATCTGGTCCCTCACTACCTTGGTAGTCACCAAGCAGGCATAACGTCCCCTTTCTTTCTTTTGCCAGCAGTCTGTCTACATTACTTCACAACTGTAGAATTTGGGAGAGGCCCTAAGTAACAAATGGACTCTCAGTGGTTGTATGGGATTTATTCAGTTATAAGCTCCAGAAATTGGTACTAGATTCCTTGTTCTCTGACTCCTGATTCATTGCTCTCAGTGACCCCACCTGTCTGTGTATTATGTACTCCCCTGCTCTAAACATTGCAACCCAACCTCCTTACCAGTCATGTGAGCCTCTCTGGCTGGCCTTATGGGCTGGCTACCTCTCTTGACTTCTGCCCTGCCCCTTCCTAACAACAGCTAACACGTGCTGAGTGTGGTAGCACACACCTGTAATAGCAGCGCTCAGAAGATAGGACTGTCACAAGTTGGAGTCCAGCCTGGGCTACATAGCAAGACCTTGTCTCAAAAACAAAATAAAAAAGAGCTAGCATATACTAAGCAGTGGGCACTGTTCTGAAATGTTTTACATAAGTATCAATCCTCTCAAACCTAGGATGGAAGGTCTGAGGAGGAAACTGAGGAAGGTCACATTCCCTGAGCTTGAAATATCTGCCCTTCCCTTTTCTCTCTTCTTTACTCCTTCCTCCTACCCTGCCCAACACTGTTCAAGTTCTGCCTTTCCAGAAGCTACCCCCAGCAGCCAGCAGACTCTCCCCTCCTCTTAGCCAGAACACACATCATCCCTTTGTCCTGGCCTCTTGGCAGTTGGTCTGTCCTGCCTTTGTTGGTTTTCTGTTTTGAGGCCCTGTCCTATTCCCCAGCAGCCTGATTTGCTTCTTAGTTGACAATGACAGATTCTCAGACATGCCTTTGCAATTCAGGCACCTCTCCAGTGCCTCCTGTCTCCTTTCTTTCTCACACTTCGGTTTCTCCCTCCTAGTGTCCCTAGGAGACACAGGTCCAGAATACAACATGGAAAACCTGAAGGTAAGAAGCAGCAGGCATCTTGTCAAGAGATTTCAGGTCAAGCTGAGGGTTCTTTGTAGGCCTCCAGACTAAAGAGCCACTTGGTCTGTTTACTGCTATTACCACTGACCTCACCAACACAGCCTGGGGCCTATGTTCATTTGGCCCTTTAGGAAAATTCTTTTTTTAAAAAAAACTTATTATTTTTACTTTATGTGTATGAGTGTATTGTCTGCATGTGTATAGGTGCACCTGTGTTCTGCAATGCCTGAAGAGGTCTGAAGAGGACATCAGATCACCTAGAACTGGAGTTACAGATGGTTGTTAGCTGCCACATGGGGGTACTTGGAATCGAACCTGGGTCCTCTGTAAGAGTAGCTAGTGCTCTTAACCACTAAGCCATCTCAACAGCCCTATACACATAAAAATGGAAGTTTCTTCTTTTTTGTCTCTTTCATTGCTTTATCTCCTCCCATTGCTTGATAGGAGACTGCTCTTTTGCTGGGGGGCAGGGTCTTCCAGTCACAGCTGGCCTAGAACTCATTATGTAGACAAGATTAGCCTGGATCTCACAGAGATCTGCCTGCTTCTGCCTCCCCAAGTGCTGGGATTAAAGGTGTGCACCAGTACGCCAGGCTCTCTGTTTTTTGATTCCTTTTTTCCTTTTCTGTCTTCCCTGGATTTACCATCTGCCTCAATAAAGTCCTTCTCATTTTCTTCCCTAACCCAGGAGCCCTCTCTTTTACTCCTGAGTCACTGAGGCATTTAGAGTCTAATCTCAGTCCTATCACTGACTTGCTGTGTTACCTTGGACACATTACTTTCCCAATGGTGAATGAGGTCCTGCTGAGCCCTCCACACATTGTCACCCCCCACCCCAAGTCCTGTACTTCTTGGGCTCCCTCTCTCTTCATCCTGTCCCAAGGGAGCCTGCTTTGACCCAGGAGAACTAGGACTCTGACTCTGGTTCTCAATCCTAGCCACCAGCTCTGGGCCTCCTATCCAGCTTTAGCCTCAGCTCCATGTGGCCTGTCTGAGGGGCTGGCCCCAAGCCCAGTGGCAACTCCACATTTCTCTGTTTTTCCTTCTCTCCCCCCTCTTTCCCGGAGTTAACAAGAAGCAGATGTGGCGCACGATGGTTGGAGAGGTGGGGGAGGAAGGAGGAGGCTGGACCGCCAGCCAGACAGGGGGAAGGGAGGGGAGAGAGAGGGAGGGAGGAGGCTGGCCAGCCCCACAGTCACTCTTGCGCCTCTGGACAGCCACAGGGGCAAAGCCTGTCACCCCAGGATCCAGTCACCAGGGAAAAGGAGAGAGAGACCAGAAGAGGGCCAGCTGGGGCCAGGGGGTGGAGGCTCAGGAAGCAGGGACCAGGCACTGGAGGCAAGGGGCCCAGAGAAGAGACTCCCCTCAGAAGTGCAGAAGAGGAGAGCGGAAGGAACCAAGGGAGGGACAGACAGGAGCCTGAGGAGGAAAGAGGAGGGGGAGAGGGGTCAGGCCCAAGCGGCCTAGGAGGAGGCGTCTGGCTGGGGGCTGCCGGCAGGAAGCTAGAGACACGTCTGACTAGTGTGCTGTCCCCTGAAGCAGCGGCATCCTCTGGGGACCTGGCAGAGGCACCAGTGGTCAGGCCGGGATGTGTCTCTAAGGGCCGCAAGGAGTACCTCGCCATGGCCCCCAGCACCCTCTGGAGCTGCTACCTCTGCTGCCTGCTGTCCGCAGCCACGGAGGCTGCCAGCTACCCTCCTCGAGGTTACAGCCTCTACACAGGGGGTGGTGGAGCCCTCAGTCCTGGGGGACCCCAAGCCCAGAGCGCCCCACGGCCTGCCAGCCGCCACAGGTAAGAAAGAGTCTGTGTCCAGCCAGGGCTGGAGGCAGTGGATGGGAAAGCCTTCATAAGGTGGGCATGCTGCCCACCCTCCCCAGGCTGTACCCCTAATGCAATGAAGAAGGAAGAGAGGAAGTCCATTTATCAGTGGCCTTCCCCTATTCACCTTCCTGTGGGTCTTTTTCCAGGGTCCTAGTGGCCTAACCAGGATCAGCTCTTCTCTATGAGGAATTGCAGTTTGGTGCCCAGATAAACTACCCTGTGGGGCATGGGCCAGGTCTTCCTGCCAGCTGCCAGCTGTATGCCAGCCCTGGATTCTCAGGCAGACCTTTTGTCCTTTTCTAGGGCTTCCTTGACCCTATCCACTAATGCCTAATTCTGATATCACCCATGTCCTGCTCCCTTAGGCTCTCCAGCCCCCTACACCACAAAGGTCAGCATGAATGGGCCAGGAGTGCAGCACTGCAAGCCCCAAGGGGGCAGAGCCCATCCAATGGCTTCTTATTATCCCTAGGCCAGACCTCAGCCTCCTGCCTTGCCTTCTTTCTTGAGATATGGGTGGAAGCACCATGTCCAGGGAATCAGCTGCAGGATCTCGGCTGACTGGTTCACACAGCTGGGGCTTGAGACAGGGCCAGAGAGGGACACAAGTGATTGTGAATTCCAGGGTGCCCAGGGATCTTACAACAGTGAGGACTGACTTCCCTGTGTGTTTTTTCATTCTGTGCTTCTCCATCTTGAAAAGTTTTTTACTGCTCTGGTGACACAGGAAAGCGTGGCAGACTGCCTTTGCAAAAGCTCTGGCTTTCACTGGTTTCTAAGTTTCCCTGCATCTTTTAACCCTCCTTCAGTCACTCTAGTAGCCCCTGGGCCATGGGGGCGAGTGTCTCTGGTTCTTTGGTTCAGATGGGGTTGTGCCTACAGGAACTGGTGTGCCTATGTGGTGACACGGACAGTGAGCTGTGTCCTCGAGGATGGAGTGGAGACCTTTGTCAAGCCGGACTATCAGCCCTGTGGCTGGGGCCAGCCTCAGTGCCCTCGAAGTATCATGTGAGCCCCAGCACCAGGGGATGGGCACTCAGTGGGGGCTGGGCAAAATCAGAAAGCTGGTAGGCATTCATGGAGTTTGTGCAAAACAGGGAGCAAGGGCAGGACAGGACTTCATTTAGAGCTATTTTGAGGAGATGCTAGGGTAATAGCTTGGCTGGTGAGATACTGCAGGTATACTTCCCTTCCCTCCGTCTAGCCCCTAGTCCTCTGGGATGAATCAGCCTCAAAGAGAGGAGCTCAAGGTTCCAGCACAAGGCCTGGGGGGAAGAGCAGGGAGTTCACCCTTGGTTAAAAAGCTGACAGCTGTCAGCTGAGCAATTCCACATGCTGACCAGGAAGGGGTGTCTAGCCTGAAGACAGGACTTGCCTACTAGCAGCTGTGCATCTCTGAGGACAGGGACCAGAGTCACTGGCAGCACAGGGAGAATACAAGGCCCCTCTGTGCCTCTGACCAGGTACCGAAGCTTCCTCCGCCCGCGCTACCGTGTGGCCTACAAGACAGTGACGGACATGGAGTGGCGGTGCTGTCAGGGGTATGGGGGTGATGACTGTGGGGAGGGTCCTGCTTCTGTGCTGGGCCCTGCACCCTCCACACCCCACCCCCGCCCCAGGCCTGCCCGCCCCAACCTCTCTGGCTCCAGTGCAGGCAGCCACCTCAGTGGACTAGGGGGAGAAGGTGAGTGTGCAAGCTGCTGGGGGTGGGGAGATCCTGTTGGAAAACATAGGGCCGGACTGCTGCTGAGGGAAAACCCATGTGCTCTAAATCAGAGGGAAGGGGGCAAAAAGGAGGTAATAACATCTGTGAGATTCTCCATTCCAATTAGAGAGAGAGAGAGAGAGAGAGAGAGAGAGAGAGAGAGAGAGAAGAGAGAGAGAGGAGAGAATTGATCAAAAGAATTGACAGACCTAGACAGGACCAAGAAAAAAGGCACAGAGAGACTATGTGCTCACACACGCCCTCATGTGGCCACTGGAAAAAGGGGGAATTCTTTGAGAAGCTCTGTCTTCAGGGAAGACAGTTATTGAGACTACAAGTCCTAGCATGCATTGCACCTAACTACAGGTCCCAGGCCCCTCCCTGCCCTCTGGAGACTGCAGGTCCCAGAATGCAGCTGTCCCTGTTGCTTGTCTTTCCCTTGTGTATGTGTTGGGCACACCGGATGTGCTGTTTTCCTGCCAGAGAGATAGCTGTACTATAATTATGCAAACAGGAGCCAGCCAGAATCCCAGCAGGCTTGCTACAGGGCCTCTCGTTTGTCCCCATGGTGCTATAGGGAAATGCCCACTTATTGCTACTGTGTGGTATGCAAAGTGCCTCCCCCACATTCCCTTTTTTTACCTTTTGACAGCCCTGTGAGGGAGGAGAGATAGTGTCATTCTCATTTCCCAGATAAGAAAATAATTTCCATGAAGTTAAGAGGCACTGAGGATGAATGGAAAGGATCTAGGCTTGGTGGCCAGATGATCTGGATTTGAAATTTGTCATTGCCACTCGTTAAACTTGTAATCTGTAACCACTTACCTAATTTCTCTGGCCCTCTGGTTCCCACACTATCCAATGGGAAAAGTTAATAGTATCTGCCCAATAGCTAAATTTTTTTTCCTGACATTTTTGAAACAGCTGTAGCCCCAGCTGACCTGGAACTCGCTATGTAGACCAGGCTGACCTCGAACTCACAAAGATCTGCCTGCCCTTGCCTCCCAAGTGCTGGGATTAAAGGTGTGCACCACATGCCTGGCACCCAGTAGATAAGTTTTAAGAGCCTTGATTGGAGCAGGTCATCCAGTGGAGCATGCCTTTAGTCCCAGCACTTGGAAGGCAGAGGCAGGCAGATCTCTGTGAGATCGAGACTAGCCTGGTCTACATAGTGAGTTCCAGGCCAGTGGGGCCTACAGGGAGACCTTGTCTCAAAAAGACAAAAAAAAAAAAAAAAAAAAAAACATGGGGGCTGGAGGGATCCCACCCCAAAACAAAACAAAAAAAGAGCCCTGGTTCAAATCTGGCCTAGGGACATTCAGTGAATGGTGTTTCCTTTTTTCTTTTCTTGCCTAAACCATCCAAAGGAGACACAGAGCCAGATGGGCCCCTGACTCTTGCTGGAGTTGGAGTAAGCAGAGCCTGGGAGGTAGGCCCTGAGCTCTACGATTCTGCTCTTCAGTCATCTGCCTTTCTCTCTCTTCAGGTCCTGGGGAGTCAGAGAAGGTGCAGCAACTAGAGCAGCAGGTGCAGAGCCTGACCAAAGATTTGCAAGGTCTTCGAGGTGCTCTGCAGGGACTGAGTGGGCGCCTGGCAGAGGATGTACAGAGGGCTGTGGAGACAGCTTTTAATGGGAGGCAGCAGCCAGCAGATGCAGCTGCCCGCCCGGGTGTGCATGAAACCCTCAATGAGATCCAGCATCAGCTGCAGCTCTTGGATAATCGTGTTTCTACCCATGATCAGGAGCTGGGCCACCTTAACAATCATCACAATGGAGACAGTGGTGGAAGTGGCAGGGCCCCAGCTCCTGTCCCAGCCCCTCCTGGCCCCAGTGAGGAGCTGTTAAGGCAGTTGGAGCGGCAGCTGCAGGAGTCCTGCTCTGTGTGTCTGGCAGGGCTGGATGGCTTCCGCCAGCAGCAGCAAGAGGATAGGGAACGACTGCGAACGATGGAGAAGCTACTGTCCTCCATGGAAGAGCGGCAGCAACAGCTGATGGGACCTGCCATGGCCCGTAGACCCTCTCAGGAATGCTGCCCCCCAGAGCTGGGCAGGCGACTGGCAGAGCTGGAGCGGAGGCTAGATGTAGTGGCTGGCTCAGTGACAGTGCTAAGTGGGCGTCGAGGTTCTGAGCTGGGAGGAGCAGCTGGACAGGGGGGTCACCCTCCAGGCTACACCAGCTTAGCCTCCCGCCTCTCTCGCCTAGAGGACCGCTTCAACTCCACTCTAGGTCCCTCAGAGGAGCAGGAGAAGGACTGGCCTGGAGGATCAGGGAGGCTGGGCCGCTGGTTGCCTGCTGCTCCTGGTCGGTTAGAGAAGCTGGAGGGGCTGATGGCCAATGTGAGCAGGGAGCTGGGTGGGCGCCTAGATCTGCTGGAAGAACAGGTGGCAGGGGCTGTGCAGGCCTGTGGACAGATCTGCTCTGGGGCCCCAGGGGAACAGGATTCTCAGGTCAGTGAGATCCTGAATTCCTTGGAGCGCAGGGTGCTAGACAGTGAGGGTCAGCTAACGCTGGTGGGCTCAGGCTTGCACAAAGTAGGGGCAGCAGGGGAAGCCCAGCAGGCCATGCTGGATGGACTACAGGGGGTTGTGAGCCGGCTGCAGGAGCGAATGGATACACAGGAGGAAACAGCAGCAGAGTTCATGCTGCGCCTGAATCTTACAGCAGCACAGCTGAGCCAACTGGAGGGTCTGCTGCAAGCCCGTGGGGAGGAGGGCTGCGGGGCCTGTGGTGGTGTCCAAGAGGAGCTAGGCCGCCTTCGGGATGGGGTAGAGCGCTGCTCCTGCCCACTGTTACCTCCACGTGGCCCTGGGGCTGGTCCAGGTGTTGGGGGACCAAGCCGTGGGCCTCTGGATGGCTTCAGTGTGTTTGGAGGCAGCTCAGGTTCAGCCCTCCAGGCCCTGCAAGGAGAGCTCTCTGAGGTCATTCTCACCTTCAGCTCCCTCAATGACTCACTGCATGAGCTCCAGACCACTGTGGAGGGCCAGGGTGCTGATCTGGCTGACCTGGGGGCCACTAAGGACAGCATCATCTCTGAGATTAACAGGCTACAGCAGGAGGCCACAGAGCACATTACTGAGAGTGAGGAGCGCTTCCGGGGCCTGGAGGAGGGCCAGGCACAGGCAGGCCAGTGCCCTGGCCTCGAGGGGCGATTAGGCCGTCTTGAAGGAGTCTGTGAGCGGTTGGACACTGTGGCTGGGGGCCTGCAGGGCCTACGTGAAGGCCTTTCCAGACATGTGGCTGGACTCTGGGTTGCACTTCGGGAAACCAATAGCACCAGTCTGACACAGGCAGCCCTGCTGGAGAAGCTGCTGGGGGGGCAGGCAGGCCTGGGCAGACGACTCGGTGCCCTCAACAGTTCCCTGCTGCTCCTGGAAGACCGTCTGCAGCAGCTTAGCCTGAAGGACTTCACTGGTAAGAGCAAGAAAAGTGGTGGTGGGGAAATCCCTTTTCAAGCCCTCTTGTTTGCTCTACCCCAGTTGTAGCCTCAACTTCCTCCAGGGCTACAGTGTATCCACAGAGATGCTGTCAAGGTCCTAGCTCCCTCCTCTCCCTCTGGTTGTTCAGATGCACCTGTGAGTGGAGCTGGGATGTGGCTCTGCCAATCAGGTACCCAACCTGGGCAGCAAGGGGCCCTATGTCTCCATCAGTCCTCCAAGCCCATCTTTTTCACTCATCTCTCTGTTCATGGAGCCACCACCTTCCCTGTCCATTGGAAACTCCCTTTAGGGATCTCCTTCAACTTAGTTTTGTTGTGTAGGGCCTTCAGGTGAGGCTGGGCCCCCCGGACCTCCTGGGTTACAGGGGCCCCCAGGCCCTGTGGGACCTCCAGGACCTCCTGGCAAGGATGGACAAAAGGGGCCCATTGGACCACCAGGTATGTGGGTTGAGACCCTTTCTACATACAGAATTGCCACTACCTGGGCAGCTTAGATATGACATTGCACTCTGAGCTTGACTGGGAAAAATAAAGGGGTAAGCAATTGAGGTTCTCAGTGCCTGGCAGTGGAAAGAGAAGAAAGTGATTAGAAGCTGAGCTGGTCATTGTATTTGGCTATTGGAGACATTGGTTTCCCTGCTGTACTGGATATTAATGCTGAGCCTACAAGTGCCATCTGGGGTATGAAAAGCTCAAGACTAAGTAAGGCTCATGGCCCAGCAATTGGACAGAATGGTCCATACTTATTCCTATTTTTCTTGACAATGCATTCCTGCTTTAAAACCCACCTAGCACTCAGAGCAGTGCAAGATACTCAGCAGATGTTCGGCAAGTGGCCTGGTGAGAGCTACCCTACTCACTGTTCCCTTTCTTTTTTTCCACAGGTCCCCAAGGTGAACAGGGTAAGTTCTTCTCAAACTCTGGAAGGGGAACTGAACTCAGGGCTAGAGAATGGAAGTCCTCAGGCAGCCTGGGTAGAACAAAAAGGGGGCTGGGGCTTCTGAGCACTTTCTAATACTCTACTTCCACTCAGGAGTGGAGGGAGCACCAGCAGCCTCTGTACCTCGGGTGGCATTTTCAGCTGCCCTGAGTTTGCCACGGTCAGACCCTGGGACGATCCCCTTCGACAGAGTCCTACTCAATGATGGAGGCTACTATGACCCAGAGACAGGTAACCCAGGGTTGGTTTGAGCAGTTGGGGAAAGGTGCGGCTGGGTGGTGATAGGACTTTATTTTTGCCTCTTTGTACAATGTAAATATTTTCATCCTCTACTTCGGAGAGACCCGTATCTTCTTCAATTATTCTCCCCATAGTTTGGCTGGGAGTAGGGAGGGGAGGATATCTTTATGGGAACCGACTCCAGCACATGCTCAATGGTTAAGTGCCCTGAGATACAGCAGCCAACTCTACAGCGAATTCCCCATAGTGTGCATTCTAGTGGAATAGCTGTGAAAGGACCTAGTGGGCTCTTCCGCAGTCCAGGAGTGTTGTGTCGGCTCTGAGAGGCCTTCCTTGTCCCAGCCACTATCTCCCCTCCTGATTTCCATCCTTGTCCCCAGGTATATTCACTGCGCCTCTGGCTGGACGCTACTTGCTAAGCGCGGTGCTGACAGGTCATCGGCACGAGAAAGTGGAGGCAGTGCTGTCGCGCTCCAACTTGGGTGTGGCCCGCATAGACTCTGGAGGCTATGAGCCCGAGGGCCTGGAGAATAAGCCCGTGGCCGAGAGTCAGCCCAGCCCCGGGGCTCTTGGTGTCTTCAGCCTCATCCTGCCGCTGCAGGCCGGAGACACCGTCTGCATCGACCTGGTCATGGGGCAGCTGGCACACTCGGAGGAGCCGCTCACCATCTTCAGCGGAGCACTACTCTATGAGGACCTGGAGCTTGAACAGGCATAGACCGGCCCGGCCCGGCCCGACCACCAAATTTGTCTACATGGGCCACAGAGCCACCTGGGTGGCGTTGTCCTGGCACCCCGCCCTGTCGCAACACAGGCGTCCAGAGCGGCCCCTCCCCAGGCCGCGATCGCGCGGGTCCTGGGTCCTAGACGTCTCCTCCTCCAGACTTGGTCTGAATGCTGATCCCTCCAGAACCCTCTCCAGGATTCGGGCTGCGGAAGAGGAACTGACCCTTGCACCCTTTGCTTCCTCAAGCAGCCTGGCTCCAGGGCTCTCCTGAGCAGGCTCCGGGCCCGCACCGCCATACTAAACTATTCAGGAATAAAGACACTTTTTTTTTTTTTTTTTTTTTTTTTTTTTTTTTTTTTTTTTTTTTTTACAAAAACATAACTATTTTGCTCCACTACATGTTTGGGGTAGACAAGGGACAGGACGGGAGGAGACGGAGGCCTACGGAGGAAACCCTGAGCCTCGCACCGCCCGCCTCTGCGCACCTCCCCAGGTGCGCTCTTTGCTAGGGCCACCCTGGGCAGCTCCTCCGGGTCCGGGCCGCCAGGGGGCGCAGGGCGGAACCATCCCGCCTGCTGAGTTCCCGATCACGTGACGTCCTCCAGCCTGGCGGGGGCAGGGCCGGGCCTCGGCAGTGGGGGGAAGGGAAGGCGGCCTGCGGAGGTCGGACTCCGGTTGCAAGACCCGAGGCTCATCCTCTCGGTACCCAGGTCTGGTGTCGGAGAGGCAGGTGCTGGAGGGGCGGGGGAAGCCCATTACATCACCGGTGCGCTTTCGCTTTGCGTTGATGGGATTGCCTGGCTGACCGCTTATTAGAGATTTATTTCGGTTCCGAGTCTGACTAGCGAGCCTGAGAAGTGGGAGGCGTTGCTATCTGCAGGGCCAGGCAACCTACATCCTACCACACTACCCCTCGCCGCTGCGGGAGGCTCCCTCGCAGGTGGAGCTCCGCACGTGGAGGAGGAGTCAGGGCAGCCCCTGAGAGCTGGGATGCTACCCTCCAGTTGATAAAAGGCGGAGCCCGGCAGGAATCCCATCCGCCCAGCGGGTAGAAAGCTTGGGGAGCAGCCTTATGGAAGAGAAGCAGATCCTGTGTGTGGGGCTGGTGGTGCTGGACATCATCAATGTGGTGGATAAGTACCCAGAGGAGGACACCGACCGCAGGTAGGGGCGCCCAGGCCCCTCGGAGACCCCAGGGCCGCTGCCGCCCCGCCTTTGTGCCAGGCAGCCATGGCTATAGGGCTGCTTACCAGGGCTCCGACAGTGAGTCTGTGAGTCTGAGAGCCTAGAGCCGGTGCCCTCTGCCAGGGAAGCCTGGGAGCTTTCAGCAGGAGAGAAGACAAGAGAATGGTGGCCGTTAATAAGACCCAGGTTTTGATTTTTTTTTTATTTTTATTTATTTTTTTGAGACAGGGTCTCCCTGTAGCCCCAGCTGGCCTGGAACTTTTGCTACGTAGACCAGGCTGGCCTCTCATTCATTAAGATCCGCCTGTCTATGGCTCCCGAGTACTTGGACCAGGTTTTGGTTTTATTTTGGCAGTTTTTTGACATGTAGCCTGGGCTGTCCTAAATTACTACTCCTTCAGCCGCTGGAATTAACAGGTGTGCACCACTACGCCTGGCTCAAGACCCAGGTCTCGGGATAGCGCTGTTATTAGCCAGTTTCCCTCTCAGCCTGGGACTTTGTGGAACATCAGAATCCTCCTTTTACAGTCTGGAATGAAGTAATTTTTTCTCAAGGGCACACAGCTGATAAGGTGCCAGACCAGTTTCCTTCTGGTTTTTTCCCTTAACTCCAAACCTATGCACTTCAAATTATTTACCACACATGTATCCCACCTACTGCTACAAAGGAGATCACTTCCAGTGGAAGTATGTGCAATTCAGTTGCTCAGAAACCCTTAGAAACCTGGCATTTGAGCCTTACCTACAGCTCAGGGCTGCCTGGTAGTGTAGCAACTTGGGGTTTCTCTGGGTTAAATGGGGAGAAAGTTGGTTCATGAGCCACATTAAGCCTTTCTCTGATGCTAAATTGCAAAAGGAGTCTACCAGAATTCTTTTTTTACAAAGATGGATGAACATCATTGCTGTCTGGTGGTTGTTGAAGTGTTCTTTGGTGGTTCTTATCTTTGTTCTTGATAAGGAACACTCCATTAAGCTGACATGCCATGAAGGCATTGCTGGGGAGTGGGACATTGGGTGTCTCTTGGTGCAATCTAGTGCTCTGAGCAATGAGCAGTGTTCCTTGTCTAGAAGTTGTCTCAGCTGAGAATTGGATGAAAGGCAGTTCAGGGTTGACTTCTGGCAGGACACTACAGTGATCACAGCGGTGGGAAGACTGGGTATTCTTTGGGTTTTGGATCCACAGAATGCTGTCAGTGCATGGCCTCACACTTACTCTGGGAATTGGGTAAGCACCAGTTAAATCCTTTGCATAGATTAGGAAGCCAAAGGTTTAGAGGAATTAAATTATGCTTATCAGGACACATACTTAGTAAGTGGCAGAACAGTGATTACAACTCACATCTCCAAGTTCAGAATGTGGTGCTCCAGCCCTCTGCTGTTTGTTCCATCTGTCTCTGTTACTGCCCATCCTGTGGAGTTTACCCTTTGCTTTGAATTGCTTTGTTTGCCAGAGGTTACAGCCAGGGGTACAGGGACAGTGGAGAAGGAGTACAGAATGTGCATCTGTGTAGACCTAACCTTACAAAGGTAGAGCCCTACAATCTTGTGCTCAGTGGGGAAGCTAGACTTACCCTTGTTCCAGTATATTTCAGGCCACAAGTTCTTCAAAGAGTATATTGGGACCATAATACCTTCAGTATGTCTTATTCTGCTAGAACTGAAGTCCCACTCCTTTGAGCTTGTTTATGTGGAAGACTAAGAGAAGGTAGACCTTCTGTGTCCCTACTGGCAGGGGAGGTTCAGTTTGGAAGGTGACTACTACAGAAGGGTCCTCTATAAGAGCCCCTTCTCTTCCTTGTCAGGTTCCTGCTCTTAGGGTGTACCTCCCTTTGCAGACCTGGGGCTTTGCTTAGCAGCCCCTGCTCTGGACTCTGTTGGGCCTCCCAGAAGAGCAAGCCTGTGTAGGGCCCAGTCCTTCTTGCTATCTCAGTCTTACCTGACTCAGGGACTCTCAGGACTTGGGGCTTTCGGCCAGACCCCTGAGGAATGGCCCTTGTTTCCCAGAGTCCATTCTGAGGAGAGCCTTCCAGAGAGCATCCTTGAGCTTGCTGAACACTTCTGCACAGCTTGAAGCATCATTGTGACTTTGAAGGGCTGCACTGGGAAATCTCACACTTCCTTAGAAATCATACCCAGGCTCAGGCCAGTTTTTCATTTAAAACTACTGGGTAGGGCTGGGCATGTGGTTCAATTGGTACAGAGCTTACCTAAATGAAGCCCTGGGTTCAGTTCTCAGCACCACTTTAAATATGGTATAGCCCACTCCTGTAACCTCTCCCAGAGGTGGAAGCAGAAGGATCAGGAATTCAAGGTCATCCTCAGCTACACAGTAAGTTCCATGAGATCTTGTTTTAAAAAGAAAAACAAAACAGGGTAAATATAGTGGCTTTGGAGTCCAGAACCTTGGCTCTGATATCATCTCTGTCATTAACTATTGGTGTGATCTTGAGCAAACTCCATCTAGGTTCCTCCTTTGTGTGAAAATTTCCCTAAAGTGCATAGCCTGACAAATATTTGAACCTTTTCAAATTTGTGTCCTTTGTCCTGATCAGCATGCTCCCTTTTCCCCAAGACTTAAAGGGAGCTTTAGGGTTATGTTTTATGTACAAATACAATTTAGCCTAAAAATCCTGCTCCTTGCTCACCTTTTCCTCCTTTGTTTTTAGAGAAAGCACTTTACTGCCTAGCCCAGTCTGGCCTCAAAATCCTCCTGCCTCTACCTTCCAAGTGCTGGGATTACAGGATTACAGGCATGATTATAAGTGTGATAATAGGCATGCACTACCACACCCACTTTATGTTTCTCTTTAGTTTTTATTTATTTATTTTTATTTTATTATTTTATTTTGTCTTTTTGAGACAAATACAGGTCTCCCTGTAGCACCAGCTGGCCTAGAACTCACTATGTAGACCAGGCTGGCCTCAAACTCAGAGATCCGCCTGCTTCTGCCTCTCAAGTGCTGGGATTAAAGAGGTATGCCACTAAGTCTGGCTCTATTTTTATTTTATGTGTATGAGTGTATTGCCTGCATATGTGTTAGTGCACCCATGTCATGCACTGCCCACGGAGGACAGAAGAGGGTGTCAGATCCCCTGGAACTGGAGTTAGCTGCCATGTGGGTACTGGGATTTGAACCTGGATCTTCTGCAAGAACAGCCAGTGCTTGCTCTTAATTGCTGAGCTATCTCTCCAGCTGGGTGTTGGTTCTCTTAATTGATGGCTTCCTGGTATTTGTTTCTCTTACTGTAAACTGCCACAATTATCAGTACTATTATTTGGTACTGGCACAATGGAAATAACAACCTGCACTATTTGCTTCGAAATATTACTGGAGTACAAATGAGAGTGCTTGGAGTTTGTTTATTTCTCATGACACTGAAGCTGAGAGACAGGAGTATGTAGTAAATGTGATCCTTTTGAAAGGAGCCACTTGGTCTCTGAAGCCTTTAGAATAGATCAGACCATTAAGGAGCAGGTTAGAGGTACTGCCCTCTGGGAGCAGCTCTTACTGAGGGAAAGGGGGTCATTGTGACTGAGGAAGAGATGACTCAAAGTTAAAGGATCCCTCAGATTGAGATGGTCCCAGTAGGTGACTTCTTGATTTCCTTAAGAACAGGTGGAAGCAGCTGTGAGCTTGACTACAGCCCAGACTTGGGAGGCGGAGGGCTGCCAGCAGCTGAGCTCCTTCCCTTGACTGAGCCTTAATAGTTCCATCTAGAAAATGAGCTGAAAGTTAGACATATCTCTGGCTCTTGCATTCTGTGGACTCCTGTACAAGGGACTGTGGCTGGTCCTGCTTTTCCTGGGACAAATCTACTGGGGCTGCAGGGACCTGCCTTGTGCTTTACAGGTGTCTCTCCCAGAGATGGCAGCGTGGAGGCAATGCATCCAACTCCTGCACCGTCCTCTCCTTGCTTGGAGCCCGCTGTGCCTTCATGGGCTCATTAGCCCCTGGCCATGTTGCCGAGTGAGTCTAGGAGGGAGGGCCCATCCTGGGGAGGTTTGCCTGCTGGGTGTAGGAAGAGGAAGGATGTCTGGACTCTGGGTGGGCATGACAGAAGAATGGTTGGTGACCACCAGAAATTGGGGGCTCACAAAGGAGTACCAAATTCCCTTACCCTTCTGAGGTGCCTATTTGCTGGTCAGGTGTTAACGCTGCTCCTGTAAAGCTTTCATTTCCACAGCTTGCAATAGAGCTGCTTAGGTGTGCCCACTTTCTCCTTCTTTACTCCTTACAGACTCTACAGTGGACTCGCCTTTGCCCTTCTCATGTCCCTTATTTGGCTGTGCTTAAAGTAGAAGGCAGTTAGGGACATGCTGTACACATCTACCTTGTCAGGGACATCCAGCATCCATGGTCTTGGGGGAAGGCCCAAGTTTATTTATCAGTTGAGGGGCAGGGCCAGTGTTTGTGTCCTTATTGTTCACTGAAGTAGTAAGAATATGCTGCTCAGGGCACCTTGGGGCTTTGTGCTACACTGGGCCCAGAACCCATTCTCTGTGGGGCCTGCAGTCCATAAGGGGCCCACGTGCCTTTTCCATGCCAACTGCTGCAAGCACTCAAAAGCCCTTTGACTCTTGGCACTGTCGACTCAGCACACACTTATCGGGAGGTGTGGCCCACACTTTGTCCACTGTGGGCATGGCTGCCAGGTTGTTGGCCTGTGAAGTGCAGCCCTTTGTACCCTTGTCTGAGGGGGCTGTCGCCAGCCAAATTCCCAGCCTTGGTGAACTGGAACAAAGCAAGTAAGAGGAGAGAACCTGTCCTGGAGATGCGACAATAGCTCCTTCCCACTAGCTGGAAGCAGGACCCTAGCTCTTGCTTAGGGTGGTGGACTCTCCTTGAGGGAGCAAATATTGATGGATGGACCATTCAGAATTTCCTCTATTCATTCAACAAACATTCAATTAGCACCTACCATATGCCAGCACTATGGGTGCAAAAAGTTATTTGGTAAACAAAACCATATTTCTCATACTTTGGGACTGTTAAAGTTGTAACAGATTTACAACCCCCTTGAGCTGTAAATCAAGGAATGGTGTCCTGTTTGGGTGCCTACAATTCTGTACAACTTAGATGCTGCTGAAAGTGAGGTCTGTTCATAGTGAGAAAACCCAGGATGGCTGGGCTGATAGGCACAGTTCCCAACTTTTAGGTTTCTTGGGAAGGGTAGGACTGGCCTCCTTGTTTTCCTGCTGGGGTAATCTTGAAGGAATGTCCCTTGTTTAATTCTGACTGGAGGGCATTATGGGACATCAGGCCCATTCTTAGGGACTTCAGGTACTGGTACCAAGTGGTACCATTGGTACCAAGTGGTACCATTGGTACCAACTCAGTGCCCTCAGATCACAGGCTCCATCCAGATCTGAGAAGATGGTAGTGAGCAGCCTCCCTCTCCCCAGCATCACTTCCTGGCTGACCATCCTGGAGGAAATGAAAAATGAGGCACCATGACAGGTTGGAAGGGACCCCAGAGAACAGGATGCCATGGGGATGAGCATGCAGAAGACATCTGAGAGGGGGCAAAGTACTGCTTCGGTGCTTAATTATTAATTCTCCCTGGGTCTGAGCAGGGCACAGTGTCCACACACACTTAGTTAAACAGGATATAGGTTCTAGGCCCAAATCTACTACTGTCTAGCTTTATGGGCAGAAGCAAAGCTTCCCAGTCTGAGTTGGCTGAAAGAGCCTAGAATGTTCCTTTATGCACCCCTCTCTGAGCTCCAGCTCTGCACCCCTTCCTCTCCTGCCTTCTGGCACAGCCTATGGCAAGACTGGGATTGCCGGTTCTGTCCTAGTTTCCTCTGCTCACACTCTTTCCTTTCAGGGCCCCAAGTGGCCCTGCCAGCTACCTGTCAGTCCCCTAAACCCTTGCCAAACTGCCCTCTCCCGGGTTACTCCACCCCGGCAGTTTTGTCCTGGATGACCTCCGCCGCTATTCTGTGGACCTACGCTACACGGTCCTTCAGACTACGGGCTCCATCCCCACCTCCACAGTCATCATCAATGAGGCCAGCGGTAGCCGCACCATCCTGCATGCCTACAGGTTTGTACATCTGTCTCTGCTTTGCCAGCTGCTGCCGCTGTCATCACTATTACTACACTCCCAGGACAGGACCCTTCTTCTCTCAGAGGCCCATGTGTTCCAGCACACCCTTCCCACACCTGGGGGAGGTCCAGGCTACAAGTAACTCTAACCTGTGTCTCCTTGCCCTCTCCTTGGCTTGGGTTCCCCCTCCCCAAGCTTCCTGGTGGCTGACTTCAGGCAGAAGGGCGTGGATGTGTCTCAAGTGGCCTGGCAAAGCCAGGGGGATACCCCTTGCTCTTGCTGCATCGTCAACAACTCCAGTGGCTCCCGTACCATTATACTCTATGACACGTAAGGCCCCCCTGGCCTCACCCTGCCACAACCCACCAATCAGTGCCCTTGCCCACCACTGTGGGCATCCCACCTGCCATTCATCCATGGCTTCTTTACACCAGAAATTGCCCCCATGCCACATTGTTCAGTAATTTCTGAATTGTTCTCAATTAGGGGAGAAGTGAGGTGGGAAGGGTAGGCTCTGCTCTGCCTGGTCATCTACCCTTGGCCAATACAAGGATGGGCAGGCAGGGAGGCAGGCCTATACAAACTGTAATTGATATGTGATTCTTCCATAATTAGCCAATCAGCAGCTTGGGTGTGGGTGTGGGTAGATGGGAGAAAACTATATACAGCCTTGACAGGCTAGGAGACCCACTGAGATTTGTAGGCTCAATCCCAGAGTTGTCAGCCTGCAGCATGGCACCAAGAGCTGAGGTTTGGGTGTTTAAAAGAGATAAGCACCCCCACCCCAACCCCCAAGGTCCTGGCATGATGAAACCAAACATACTATACACTATTAGTAGCTACTGCTGAAGGAAAGGGAATGGGAACAGCAGATCAGGACTGTATGATGTGTTAACATGAGAGAGGAACATCTCTCCTGGGTCCCAAAGGTAGGCCCACCCCTCTTATCCTTCCCACCTCCCTCCTGAATAACCCTAGAGGTTTACTGAGAATTCAGTACATGATAGTTCTGGATAAGGGTTGGGGAGGGGTCAAGCCCGGGGGCCCCAGGGTTCATGCTGTCCTTACTACCAGCAGACCTGGGCAGGGCGGGGGGGGGTGTTCCTGGATATGTACTTCCCAATGGATGAATGACACACACATAACTAAGTGACCTTCAGATTGGGCAATCTGCCATCTGGCTGTTAAGTAAGCAATGATCAGAAAAGATTCTGATCAAGGACACCTGTGGATACTCACATCGGGGAAAGGAGGAGCTCTAAGGAGAAATGTTTATTGCTCACTGGCCTCAGTCTGTATCTGCAATTGCAGAAGGCACAGGAGGCTAGGGCTTTCAGCCTTGTGTATCGATGGGAAAGCAACCCCAGAAAGGCTCACACCACTAGTGAAGTGAATTCTACAGAACCATGGAGAGTGGATATCTGCTGGGCCACCAAGTAGTGTTGAGGTAGACCCTTTCTTGGGTTGCCACATCTAGGCCAGGCAAACCTATATACTCTTCCTCAGAGTGCCAACTTGGACCTCGGAGTTGAAGCAGGGAACTCAACTCAGGACAGGGTATTCTGTCACCCACGAGCTCCCAGTCAAGTGAATGGGATTAAAGCAAGCTCCAGGCAGGGGACCATGGGCTATATAGTTAGTTCCCAAGGTTATTGCATGCTAGGAACTCTGTGCTGCCAGCAAGGGACATTCTGGGAAGTGTAGTCCTTAGCACTCATAGTATTCTGGGAGATATGGTTTCCAGGGTCCACAGAGCTGGCCTCTGAACACACATTTGTACATTCTTGAACTCAGAAAGGGGCACCTCAGCAAAATGGGACACGGCTTATTCTAGAACTCATTCTAGAGCCGAGAGCCCTGTGCATCTCAACTTACTGCCATGCTGCCAGGCTAGGAGTCACCAGCAGTGTTAAGAGAACCGGGCTCACTTCATCATGTCCCTTCTTTTCTTTCCTTACCATGTTGCAATTAGGAACCTTCCAGATGTGTCTGCTAAGGACTTTGAAAAGGTTGATCTGACCCAGTTCAAGTGGATCCACATTGAGGCAAGCCCTGCCCCACCTATGTTTCTAAGTGCTTAGCCTGCCAGGCCCTTCTGCATGGTCAGCCTCCTCTGATTTCTTTGAACCATGAAGTATCTTAGAGATAGTGAAGAGCACCCACCATCCCTCTCCACTCTTCCTTATGCTTACCTACAAGGAAACTGAAAGGCCCAGAAAGTTTTGGGTGATAAAACAGCCTGAAGGCAAAGCTAGCACCAGGCAAAAATGCTTTTTCTAAGGCTGCCATGCCTCCTCCATTTCTGACCCTAGAGGGAGGCTGGATGCTTAGGAGCTGAATGTCCATTTTGAGAGTCCCTCTCCCTCTCTGTCTTTATCTCTGACCTCTTCCTCTTCCCCTCCCCCATTCTTGCCTTTTCCTTCTACCCTCTTTGCTTTCTTGATCCTCTTTCTGTCCATCCACTTCTAGGGTCTTGCTATGTAGCCCAGGTCAGCCTGGAATTCTCAGTCTTCCTGCTTTCTCCTCCCAAGTGCTGTGGTCATGGACACGCAAGCTCAGCTTCTTTTATACTTTAGGCTTCTCATTTGTGAAATGGAAAAGGTTGACTGATAAGGTCCCTGAGATCCAAGACAGTCCTAGAATTGTGCAGCTTAGGATGGGGTTCCAGCCTAGCCTCCTCCAACCCCTCTCCCTCCTCACCCAAAGTTCCAGCAGGGAGGGAAGAATGAACTCTATCAGCTGGGCTCTGCCTGAGCTGCCCTGTCCTGCCCCAGGGCCGGAATGCATCTGAACAGGTGAAGATGCTGCAGCGGATAGAACAGTACAATGCTAGGCAGCCTCTGCAACAGAAAGTCCGTGTGTCTGTGGAGATAGAGAAGCCCCGAGAAGAGCTGTTCCAGTTGTTTTGCTACGGTGAGGTGGTAAGTGCCCTGCAGCTTTTACTGGCTACCTCTAACTGGGTACTTAGAACTGCAGAAGGGCCCTAGTCCCGCCTATCAGGTTCTACATGACAGCTCCTGTGTGGTGGTAGCAGGAAGTAGCCAAGAAGTAGAATTTTTCTGTTCAGATGACTACATAAGAATAAGGGTGCCTGTGGCTTGGCTAGAGTTCAGATAGACATTGACCTTCTCAGTCTTTCCCTCTGCAAAATGAAGAGAGGATGGAGCTGTTCTCTGAGGTGCCCATTTTTTTCTGTTAGTGGCAGTTAGGTTGTGAGAATCAGTAACAATGAAGGGAGGGTGGGAAGGAGACTTGTACAAGGTAAATTTGGACAGGGCTGGGTATGAAGGGAATTTAGGTGGTAATCCTAGCATTGGTAATCCTAGCATCATAGCTAAAGCTGCTGAAGACTCTTTAGCCACTGGCAGTCAGCCTTGGGGCAAAATTAAAAAATTTGGAGGCCTGAGCCCTGCCCTCCCATTTTGTATTTAGTTGGCATGGTTAGAGCCAGGGCTTATTTTTCTCCAAAACTGTCTCTGGAGATTCTAATTTGATGTTACTGTGGAGAGAGAGTTCTAGAGTCCCCATTGCTTGTTTTACAAATGAAACTCACTCTCTAGGGCAAAGCTATGTGGGAAACAAAACAAAACTCTCTTGAGAGCCAGTACTATTTGATTTCACCCCAAGATGGCACTCCAAGCCTTTTCTGGGTTTTCAGTTTGCTGATCCTAGAACAAAGATATATTCTAGCACATTCTAAGCAAGCATAAGAAGTGTTCCTGTGGGCCAGTGAGGTGCCATGCTAAGAATTTACCTAAACTGGGGTGGGGGTGGGGGAGGGGAGTCATGTCATAACTGGAAGGCAACACTGGGCTGTTGGTAGTGACTAGTTAAGAGGTGACTGCCAGTCTCTCTTTCACTGCCCACAGGTGTTTGTCAGCAAAGATGTGGCCAAGCACCTGGGGTTCCGGTCAGCAGAAGAGGCCCTGAGGGGCTTGTACAGTCGTGTGAGGAAAGGGTGAGTAGGAAAGCCAAAAAAGGTCCCTATGGAGTCTGGTGAGGTCTGCCCTGATAGGTCTAGGGGATGAGGTGGGCTAACACCCATCTGAGTGGGTCTAACAGGGCTACACTCATCTGTGCCTGGGCTGAGGAGGGTGCTGATGCCCTGGGACCTGATGGCCAGCTGCTCCACTCGGATGCCTTCCCACCACCCCGGGTAGTGGATACTTTGGGGGCTGGAGATACCTTCAATGCCGCTGTCATCTTCAGCCTCTCCCAGGGTGAGTACCTCATCATGGGGGTGCAGCAGGGCCAGGCCAGCCCCTATCCAGAATGCCAGGCTGACCATGCTACTTGTTCCTTCTCCAGGGAACAGCATGCAGGAGGCACTGAGATTTGGATGCCAGGTGGCTGGCAAGAAATGTGGCCTGCAGGGATTTGATGGCATTGTGTGAGAGTTGGGTAGTGGGAAGCACCAGCTCACTGTCTACTTTGGAGGCTGACATCACTGCTTACCATTGCCTTCTCCCCTCCATCCAGCCTGGCATCTGGCTGTCCTGTACTTTGGGCAGGTGTGGGCTGTGGAAAGAACTCTGCCTATGTCCTATGTCCTGATACACCCTGACTCCTACCCTCTGCAGAACTTCAGAGCAAATAAATTTCCTTCCCTTAAGCCAGCTTTGTCTGTCTGTTCAAGGTGTGTGTGTGTGTGTGTGTGTGTGTGTGTGTGTGTATGTTGTTTTGTTATTGTTGGTGTGTGTTTGAAACGGGGTCTGACGTGAAGCTCAGGCTGGCCATGAACTTGAAATCCTCCCACTTCAGCCTCCCAACTGGTGGCATTACAAACCCAGCTTCCATTTGTCTTTTTAAAATATATTTATTTTATTTTATTTTTATTTTATGCATACAAGTGTATTGCCTGCATGTATGTGAGTGCAACCATGTCGTGCAGTGCCCGAAGCAGTCAGAAGAGGCCATT